TGGAACCCATGAGAGACTGTCTGGGCTAGGGTTTTTTGTTTGTTTGTTTTAGACACACGGTGTTAATGGGAAGGTACAGATGTTGATGCCTTTGCACTCCGGTGAGCAGGGAAATGAGGAAGATCAGGGAACAGTCATGAATGCGTTTTCCACTTGGTTTAGCCAGTGACCCTTCAACCTAAATGGAGCCTCTGTCTGGTTGGTAATTGCCTCATGGGTCTCTGAGGAATGCAGCAGGCGCATTGGAGACTGGAGGGCTTAAGGATTAGCTTTGTGAACAGCAGGATGCTAAGCTGGAAAAAAATCACATGAGAAACTCTTGCTTCCCTGTAATGCTTGCCAGTCACTGGAGAAAGAGGCTGGATTCAGCCACTTATGGGCATGGGGAAAGATGCCTCCAAGTCTAGATAATGGAATTTCTATGTTACCGTTCTTTTTGGAGATTTCTGACAGCTCTGTACATGTACCCATTTTCTGATGACTGGAAACTACTAATTCCACAGCATTTACCCATTTAAATCCAGGGGCTTTCCTCACGGTTGGGTTGTTCACCAAATTAAAAGAATTATTAGTTGATTGATCATCTGTCTGTTGACCCAAGGTATGGTCTGAAGGCATATGAGCCCACAACCTTGCTGAAGTTAAACAAGCCTGATTCTGCTCAGTGCCTGGATGGGTCCCTCCTGCCAGACTGCATGCATGCTGCCTTGGGTTCCATAATAGAAGAAAAGTGAGGTATACATGTAAGAAATAAAATATAAATTAAATAAATAGGCGTATTACCCAAAGCCAAATCTAGGTTCATTAATGAGATAGTGAAGTTAAGTGTAAGGTGTGTGTGTGTGTGTGTGTGTGTGTGTGTGTGTGTGTGTAAAGCTAGTTACACATTAGCCAAATGAATGGCACGCCAACATTGCCCCAAAGTTCTATTCCCTTAACTCACAGTCCCACTTGCTTAAAATGTTCATAGATTTAAAATTGGTTTCTGTTGGCCTGCTAATTTTTTCCGATGCTCTGCCAATTAAAAGGTGCAGCCCAAGTGCAGCATCTGTTCATCGTCTGATGGTTTTTACTGATGGGCCCACTTAACGTGAGATCTGCAAGACAGCTTTGCCAGGGACTATATCAGATCAGGGCTTCCCTAAGACATGTTGGTGCCTGGGGGCCAAAGGCCCAGATTCCATGGGTAAAGATGGGGAACCAGCAGCCAGGCTGTTTTCTTTCACTCTCTCCATTGATATGGTCTCATTTCAGTGAGGCTTATGCAGGAGAGAATTAATTGTGCCTCTTGGGTTAAAACTGTCTGTCTCCCATTCCTTAATGCAAGGGTAGCTGACCCTGTTTCTCCAGGTGTTGCTGGACTACAACTCCCCATCATCTCTTACTAGTGGCCATTCGAGCTGGGACTGATGGGAATTGAACATCATCTGGAGGGCCACAGGTTACCTGTTTTTCCTCTTCCATTAAAATATTATTTATTTAGATATTTACATCCTGCTGCTTTTCAGTATGGCTTACATGGTCAAGGAATTTAAAACCCCCCAGCTAAAATCCATAAAATAACAGCATATACATATTAGCAACAAAAATAAGTGAAGGCAGTATAAAATCACATGGCAGAGATGAAACTTTGAAGCTAAAAGGCCCTGCTTGCTTTGTGTGTCCCCCCTCCTTCAATCATTTCCTCTTGCCTTTCCCCATCTTGTCTGGCATTCCCTTTATTCTGTTGGATTTTAATACCTGTTGTGTTTGTTTTAGAAAACTTTAATGTGGTAGTAAATGGAAATAAGCTTAAATGTGGCTTCCATATAGCTGACTCTGCAGACTGCCAAATAGAACAGCCGAGGTATACACACAGCTTGCCTCACATCACTGAAGGGAGCTGCTGATTCTGGAACATTTGCAATTGCATTGCCAGCATCAAAGGCTGTGTGTGTGTGTGCATGCGCATTGTCTGAAGCACCAAGGTGGCAGGAAGTGGCAGGAGTGCTCTCAAACTGGGAACAGCGCAGTGCGCTCTGACTCAACGCTGATATCGCTCCTGCCGCCAGAACACCAAGTTCTGTGTCAGCCGTGAGGTTCAGATGTCAGCAGCTCAGTTATGCATCAGCACCCATACAACCAACCTGGGGCACAGTGAAGACTGCAGGACTGCACACTAGGGCGCACCTGAAGCATAAGCAACCTGGCGTTGGTTTGTGGCGGTCCAGACATTTATGCACCACCACTGTTGCCTTTCTCTCCGCTACTGATTCAGGCAGGAAGGCACAGAACACATTCTTTGCACTCTTGATTTTGAGTTCCTTTCTCTTGGTTTGCATCACAGTTCCGATAGCATCTCCACATTGCCGTTCTTCTGTGCTCTCATTTTGATGCTGCAGAGTAAAACTTTGGGACCATGGAAGGTATCCAGGGGAAAGAGAAGTGCCTATTCTCTGGTACACTGTTAAGCTCATTGTTCAGAGTCACCCATGTAGGTCATAGAATCATAGAGTTGGAATAGACCACAAGGGCCATCGAGTCCAACCCCCTGCCAAGCAGGAAACACCATCAGAGCACTCCTGACATATGGTTGTCAAGCCTCTGCTTAAAGACCTCCAAAGAAGGAGACTCCTTGGCAGCAAATTCCACTGTCGAACAGCTCTTACTGTCAGGAAGTTCTTCCTAATGTTTAGGTGGAATCTTCTTTCTTGTAGTTTGGATCCATTGCTCCGTGTCCACTTCTCTGGAGCAGCAGAAAACAACCTTTCTCCCTCCTCTATATGACATCCTTTTATATATTTGAACATGGCTATCATATCACCCCTTAACCTCCTCTTCTCCAGGCTAAACATGCCCAGCTCCCTTAGCCTTTCCTCATAAGGCATCGTTTCCAGGCCTTTGACCATTTTGGTTGCCCTCCTCTGGACACGTTCCAGTTTGTCAGTGTCCTTCTTGAACTGTGGTGCCCAGAACTAGACACAGTACTCCAGGTGAGGTCTGACCAGAGCAGAATACAGTGGCACTATTACTTCCCTTGATCTAGATGCTATACTCCTATTGAGGCAGCCCAGAATTGCATTGGCTTTTTTAGCTGGCGCGTCACACTGTTGGCTCATGTCAAGTTTTCTGCCTGCCCAGTCAGTCCTGTTGCCAAGCAAATGACCAGCACAAGCGGGAGTGTCTATCTTGCCTGTTTTGTACTGCAGAGAACTTGTGAATGGAAAATATGCATCTGACCCCTGACCACCAGGAGGTGCCCAAAATCTGATGACATGAGAGAAGCCCGTTGCACAGAATCATAGGATTGTAGAGTTGGAAGCGACCCTGAGGATCAGATAGCCATCCGACCTCTGCATAGAAACCTCAGAGGAAGGAGAGTCCACCACCTTCTGAGGAAGTCCATTCCATTGTCGAACAGCTCTTCCCCTCAGAAAGTTCTTCCTTATGTTTAGTCGGAATCTCCTTTCTTGCATAAGAGTAGTCATTTCTCAGTTTTCTGTCTTTGCTTTGAACATCAATTTATATCTTCTTATCTGGAAAGTCCCAGCTCCTAATCTTCCTGCCCTGCTCTCTGTTTGTAACTCTGAGGAAGTTGTTCTATGTGTTCTAGCAGAAATTTTATTTTATTTTAACTCACTGCAGAGCCGGGCCCTAACTTTGAAAACAGGGTTTGAGCCATGCACACACTGACAAATCTGTCTTTCGTCAGACCAGGGTTTAGTAGTGCAAGGTTGCTTTGGTCAAGCTGTTAAATAGAAATGTAGGTATTAATTTTATCGCTTCTGTAGCCCTTTTCAGCATAATAAAGTGCTTTGGAATTCTTGTCCCCACAAAAATTCCATGAATTGAGGTAGTTTGAGAGATAATGTTTTACGAGAGGCCACTCAGTGAGCTTCATGGCTGAGCAAGGACATCTACCTTATCTCCAAACTAAACACTGTTTCCAATGACCTGCATAGGCTGTTGTTCATACTCTGGGCTGCAAGTTTCTCCTGGGAAGAAAGTACAGTGGTACGTCGGGTTAAATACTTAATTCATTCCAGAGGTCCGTTCTTAACCTGAAACTGTTCTTAACCTGAAGCACCACTTTAGCTAATGGGGCCTCCTGCTGTCACCACGCCGCCGGAGCACGATTTCTGTTCTTATCCTGAAGCCAAGTTCTTAACCTGAAGCACTATTTCTGGGTTAGTGGAGTTTGTAACCTGAAGCATATGTAACCCGAGGTACCACTGTATTAGTGAATTGCCTCTGCTGAACAAAGGAGTGCTGGGTTAAGTGGCAAGAGCTGTGAGTTTGGAGGACCTCTTGATACCAGGGACTTTTCTTGAAGATGTGCATGGCACATCTCCTCTATGGGGGTTAAGTCTTCTCTGTGTGCATCATTTTCAGCAATATATGTTAAAACAAGGGACCTTCATGTTACCCTTTGCCGTGCGTCTCTAGAATTGGGTTCAGCTTGGATGACTCAGGTGCTGATTAGGGTGGAATGAAGCACACAGCTGAGAGTTCAAGGAGTTTTGTTTGGCAAGTTCCTACTGGGAAATTATCTACTGCTAAGCCAAGAGAGTTGAAAGAGTAGAAACCTTTTTGCTTTTCCAAATCCTGGCTGGTGGGACTCAGAGAGGACTCCTTGGCTTCCTCAGATGTGATCGTCAGCTTGCTGTCAGTGCCCATGAATGCTATTAGAAGTCCTGGTGACACCTTTTGCAGTTCCAGCATGGTTCAAGACACCCTTGGCCATTTTGGAGAACGAATGAGGCCCCCGCTACTCGGGAGGCTTCATGGGAGAGGAGGATGTGGCTGTTGACCTCAAATCAGGAGACTTTGCTGGTTGCAAAATGCATAGGCTGTGGACTCGCATCAAAACAAAGCCCATTTTACCCAAAGTTGGGGGCAAATGTTTTAGCTGCTTGCTGCTGCTGTTGCTGGTTCTGGATAGCCAAGTCCTCCGTTTCCATTTTGAGGATCAATTCTGCCGGTTAACATTTTTGGTTCACTCTTTTGTTCTTCTCTTGCAGGGTGTAGGATGCTGGCTCCGGTGCGGCTAGGACTGCCCACATGACCTTTGCCACCATCATGCTGTGCCCCTGGCGTGGGAAGCTGAAGCTGCTACTTGCCACAGTGACCCTGGTCTTCCTCATCTCATGGCTCTACCTCTTTATGGGTAATCTGGAGTGTGAGTGAGGGCAAGGATGGCCCATGGACAACGGAAGGGTGGTGGTGTGATGAAAGCATGTGCCACAGATTTGCCCTGCGGCAGCTGTACACGTGGGTGGGAGATGGGACTCCAGAGTGGAATTGCAACTATACTGCCAACTCACTTTGAGACCTTTGGGCAGAGGGTGGCCTCTGTTTCCTCCTGCGTAATAGGACTAGGAAAGCTTTCCTAGAATTGTAGAGTTGGAAGGAACCCCAAGGGTCATGTAGTCCAACTCCCTGCAATGCAGGAATTACAGCTAAAGAATCCCCGACAGATGACCATCCAACCTCTGTTTAAAAGCCTTTCATGAAAGAGAATCCACCACCGTCAGACATTAAGGTGACAAAAGGATGGTTCCACTGCCTTGCTTGGATGTATGTGATTTTCTCATAGCCCAAACACATAGGAACTGATCCCTCTCATATATGACGAAGAATGGGCCAGATTTCCAATTTGGGAAATGTAAAAACCATCACCAAATTGTATATTTAGTTCCCAGCTTCTCAGCATTCAAGGCAGCTTGTAAACCTCTGGATCTTCTACACTAGAACTTACAAACAGACCCTTTTCCCTTGTACCTGGTGACTTCTCTCCGCAGAGGGCCAGTATTCTGAGCAAGCCCTCCTTGGATCAATCCAGGCTTGGAGCTGGTAATAATGTTCAGCTTGGGGGTGTTGGGGCTCCATCCGTCGTGTGGTTCTTCTCCCTGGCAGTTGCCTTTATGGCCGTCAGAGAGTCTTCGCTGGAGAGGGCTTGAGGGTGTTGCCTCCTTCCCCCTCCCTTGCTGATGTCAGTGGCAGATCTCTCCAGAAAATACATTACAGAGAGAATGAGCACTGGGTTTTCAGAATATTGCTTTCTTAGGTTGCATTGACACAGTACTACTCTCTGGCTGCAAAGTTATGAATGGAGAAACTAGAGGCAGAGCTATGCCCCTTCCTGTTATGCCACTGTCTTCTTTCTTGCCCATCTCATTCATGGTGTGGGGTGATACTGTACATTAACTCTTGAGTGTTCAGATTCACATTCACCCGCTTGAGGAGCAGCAGTCAGCTTCATATTGAATAGTCTTAAAATAATATTAAGTCCATTTGACTGCAGAGAAAGATAGCCGGTGGAATTAATATAATTGAATCTAAAAAGGGAAATTGTAGACTATGCAAAGAGATAGGGGGAATATTTTATAGTGCTGGAACTTTGCAACCTTGCTATATGAATTCAAGAAACCTGCATAAAATATTTGTTCCCGCTCTCATCCTTCTTCCCAATTGTCCCTCTTGTTTCATTGAAGTATGTGCAAAAGGCTCAGTGACTATGCATCCTCCTCCTCCTCCTCTCACCACTCCCCTATTTATTTTTTCTTTTCCTGGGGGGTGGGGATCCCCTCTATAGATGGATGCTCCTTCCTGCTGCCGCCTTGCTTTGGGGAACAGTCAAGCCGATACCTTAACCACGAGGCCTTGGTGTCCCAAGTACAGAAAGTGGAAGAGGAAAACCAGCTGTTGAGGATGCAACTCAGCCAGTCTCAGATGCAGGACGAGGCTGTGGATGGGACGGACAGCAGCCAGCAGGGAGCGCAGATCATAGAGGACCAGGATGGAAGGGACAACAGCACCGGCTGCCTCAAGCAGAGAATGGTTCAGAAGTGCGAGGTAAAGGCGACGTCCCAACTGGCTGCCAAGGCACCTTGCAGGCAAATAGTTATGGCAAAACTGTGGAAGGGTTGCACAGAAACAGCCGCGTTGTTGTTCAGGCTCCTCAATCTGTTCTGTTCCCTGAGATGGGGGTAGCCAACATGGTGCCCTCCAGAGGTTTTGGACTACATATCCCATCATCCACAGCCAGCTTAGAATGGTTGGGAGTGGTGGGAGGTGTAGTTCCCAACCTCTGGAGGCTGTGACGTTGGCTGCCCTTGCCCTAAGATAATAGGTGTAGCCATATAATTCCCACTCTTGCTGCTTCCTGCTGTAGGCAGCGTGATATTTATTTTGCAATGTAATGCTTTTCTGAACCCTAAGATACGTGTTGGTATGATAATCCCCTGAGGGCAAGGAGGCAGTCCTCACTTGCGCCTGGTTTCTATGTCCATTTCTAACTCTGGTTGGTTTTGCATCAACGTTTTGTATTATCCACTTTGCTCTGAGAAAAGTGAACTCTCTGCGCACCCTTTTTTACTGACTTGGGTGAAGAAGAAAAGGCCCTGGCAGGACAGGTGGATTCTGCATGTATTGTGGGAAGCGGCTTCTGAAAGCTCCACTTGGAGGGGAAGGGGGGAGAGGATCTCTTGCATTGAATTGTGGTTGGGGGGCCAGGCCTGATGGCATCTTTGTGTTTCTGGACAGCTTCTCCATGTTGCAATTGTCTGTGCTGGATACAATGCAAGTCGGGATGTTGTCACCCTGGTGAAATCCATCCTCTTCCACAGGTAACCTTGGAGGGGGTGGGGAAGGCTGCTCTTCTTTTGAGCAGGTAGCGGAGGCTTCTGAGTTTCCCAGGACTTGAACACGGGGTTAAAATAGGATGCCTTTCTGCGCTTTTGCTTCCAAGCTGCAGTTCTGGATGTGCTGGGGGAAAATAGAACAAGTGAAGACTAGTTAGGGTCCTCTGACCCCATCCTTTTTCACTTAAATGCAGCTGCCAGGGTTCTGTATGTGGCATAGCAAGGCATCAGCAAAATGAGGGAGTTGGCTGTATTTCGCATCTTGCTTTCAACTATTGCAAGCATTAACTGTTTCCTTCCTTGGCAGGAAGAACCCTCTTCACTTCCATCTCATCACTGACTCTGTGGCCCAAAAGATCCTGCAGATGTTGTTCGAGTCCTGGATGGTGCCCTCTGTTCATGTTAGCTTCTACAATGCTGATGACCTGAAGGCAAGGGAGATCAAGCCAGGCTCGTTCTCTCTTTCTCCATTTGTTCCCTCTCCCTCTCTTCCCTTCCCTCTCCACACCCTCTTCCCATGAAGTGAGCAGCCCTGTAGGGAAGGCCCTGCCGTAGGAATGGCTTGCTTGGAGATGAGAGACGCAAACCCTTTCCATTGTTTTCTGTGCTCTCATTTGCTACTACTGTCATTTCGTTTGTAGAGTGGGAAGACCTGTTGACAGGATCTGAATGATTTAGAAATATATGAAGTTAACCTTCTCATTTCAGCAGGAGTCTCTAAGTGGTTTACATATTTGGGGAGGTGGGAGAAGTGTGTCTGTGTGTGTGCTTTTGTGTGTGTTCACGTAAGCATAAAATACAAATTCCATATTAAAAACGAAACAATGCTACTACTACTAAAAGAATAATACTATTTTAAATAACATAATTAAGAAACAATAAATACAATATACTTAAACACAATTTTCCTTGGAATTGAGCCCCCTGATGGATAGTGGCTGGATCCAAGCTTGTGAATGGATCCAAAAGGTCATGAATCATCCTTAAGGTCACCTAGAACTTTGCAACGGAACAGAAGCCAAAATCTGCAATTGAAATGATTCTATGATGCACTTTCATGATTCTGATGTCCAAGAATGCTAATATTTCAGCAAAGTGACAGAAGGGCAGAAAGATTAAGGCAGGGAGCCCTGAAGCAGCACCTGGAGTTTTCCAAGGCCACATAAGTATTCCTAATGAACAGTGGGCACTGTGCCAGACAGTCTCCTCTCGCTGTTGCCAAAACTTTATGTGCAAGTTGTTGTCCATAATAAAATAGGAAGGGATAGAAACATAATTTAATTGTTTTTGAAATTTGAAAGTAGCCAGATTCCAGGAGTATGCATTTGTACTCTTTGATTCAATTGGTTTGGGATTAAAGCTCTTAGATTTTAGACAATGGAGTTGCCTTATTTATTCTGCTGTGAATCAGAAAGTCACTCTCCATTGTTTCTGGCTGAATTGGATGAAGAAAGGTGAAATTAGATCTGGGGTCGGAGAACATGCATTTTCCTGCCATGTCTAAAACAATTGGCAGTGCCGAGATATATGTTTGGCATCCAAAACTTTCTAGACAGGTAAGGTTCACCCAACCAAGCTTAGTGCAATGATTCACACTCCATTCCCCCCCCCCTCGGAAAGTGGGTTGTGGTTGAACAGACCATGTGCTTTCACTGAAGATGGGGTGGGAATTTTTAGGGGGGGGAATGCAGGTCTCTTATTCAGGGGCCATGAAATCTAGAGCAGAATTGGGAGTCCATAGATGCCTTTGAAGTCTTGCCGCACTATATTATTATTTAAATTTCTATACCACCCTTCATCCAAAGATCCACAGGGCGGTTTACAATATAAAAACACAAAAATATCAGTAGAATAACCCATTAGAAAATGTTAATAATGACCAGGTTGATGAAGTTCGCTAGTCCCCAGATACCTTCTTACAGACTTGCAGGCCTGTTTCATAGGTATGGCAAGGGACATGGAGGCTGCTTGGAATTGCATTTCCATGGAGGTTTCCATTTGTGTGCAAGCTTTGTCTCCACTGCCCTCCAAAACAGGAGTGCCATGTGGAAGCACCATCTTTGCAGTTGAAAGCATTCCTACATCACTTTGTTTGTGTGAAGCACTTCTAAATCTCACCAAAGATATACAGACTAGTTTAGAGTCATGGTCTCATTTTCAGTATTGTCTCGTTGCTCAAGCCTTAGAAACAAGAGCAATTTTAGGCTTCTTGGCTATAGACCAGACATGTGATGCTGATGCTGGCCTGCCTGTTCTCTTTTTTCTGAAATGTTTCCCCCCCCCTTTTTTTTTTTTTTTTGCAGCCAGACATCTCTTGGATCCCCAACAAGCACTACTCTGGAATCTATGGGCTGATGAAATTGACGCTCACAAAGGCTCTCCCCTCTGATCTCTCCAAGGTCATTGTCCTGGACACAGACATCACCTTTGCTACTGACATTGCTGAACTGTGGGCCATCTTTGGGAAGTTCTCAGGTAAGTGATGACCACTGGGAGAATAGGGATCCTTTATACCAGGGACAGAGAATCTGTGACCCTCCAAGATGCTTTGAGGACTCCAACTCTCTCATCATCAGCCCCAGCCAGCATGACCAGATGCTCACGGATAATGAGAGTTATAGTCCAGCAACATTTGGAGGGCCACAAGTTCCCTGCCCCAGCCGTTGACCATCTTTGAGCACCTCTCCAGAGGCAGTGGCTCATTGTATAGGACAGCTCTGGTGGCCCTAGATACTGAAAGGGTTTCTTTTCTTACTCGGTGGTCTTTCCATTTACTCTGCTCCTTTGAAAATTATACAGCAGGGATGATCCTTAGTGAGTGAGTTCCAGAGTACTGATCTTGTTGACAAGCAAGTCTGTTAGCTGCCTTTGGCCTCATTTTCTTATCTCTTAATCTAGACAAACAGGTGATTGGGCTGGTGGAAAACCAAAGTGACTGGTACCTAGGGAATCTCTGGAAGAACCATAAACCATGGCCAGCACTGGGACGTGGCTTCAACACAGGTGAGCTCCAGAGGGCTGTGGGAACATGACAGGATGATGTCTGTGAAATCCTCTGTTCCCGTGGCTGGGTTTGTATGTGACGATATCTAGGTTCAGATATCCTGGTTCAACTGTGAAGTTGACTAGGTGGTCTTGAGCAAATCCCAATGAGCACAAGGAAAACTAGTCCTATGAGGAAAGAAGAGGTAGCTTCCTTTCCATACCCATGGCAGATTTGGATTTTTGGGCGAATGCTGTGGGTGCCACCCCCTCTGATCATTTCTTACTCTTCTCCCCAGATCAGCACCCCTACCTCCTGAGAGGCATAGTGCACACACACTCTGGCTTCCCATGGAATCTGGGTAAAAGCTGGATCCTATAAAGTTAATCCAATGCTTCAAAAGCAAAGAGAGCCGAAAGAGGAAGTGAGAAGGAGCAGTGCTTTCCCCACAATCCTCTCTTGGTTCTTTGTACCTTTCAAGCTCATGACAGGGGAGCCAATGGAGGACTGCAAAAGTATCACAGTGCCCATGGATTAAAGGGACTGGTTTGCAGAGCCTGAAGAAAAGGTGGAGAGGAGCAGGGTAGTATGCTTCAAATGCCCCAAAGGCTGTCCCATGGAAGACTGCATAGACTTGTTCCCTGCTGCCTCAAGGGCCAGAACTAGCTCCACTGGGATTGGATAACAGAAGCTGAACATTAGGAAAACCTAAGAATAAAAAGAGTTCAGTAATGAGACCAGTTAATGGGAGCAGGATAGATGGCTGTCTTTTAGGTGTTCTCTCTCTGGATTTTCTGCATTGAGCAGGTGCCTGGACCAGGTGGCCTCCAAGTCTACCGTTAGCAGTTTTTGTAGGGCATGCTTATTTGGTTTTATGCCAGTGTTGACTGTCATTGCCACACACACACACACACACACACACACACACACACACCTTGGAGTTGTAGTTCAGTGAAGTTGTAAACTATTCTGCTGCTGGTATTTCAGAGTGTGAGTAACCAGCGATGGAGCTGGGTCGAATGGCGTGGCAATAGACACGCACACCAGCTCCTCTTGTTAGACAGTGACTCCAGAAACAAGCTTTCTATCATGGATAGCTGCTTGGCAGGTCTGTAGGATATCTTGGCACCACCTGGTGGTTGTCCAGAGAACTGTTTCTCCATGCAAGGCAGGCACCCCTAGTGGGGAGGCAGGAAAGAGTTCGTGGCTCTGCAACAGCAGCAGCAGCAGCAGCAGCAATAGGAAAAGACTCATTCTCCATGCTTGTCAGCTTGGTTGTCAACACTATAAAGAGCAGCCACTCCTCCTGTTGCAAGGATTTTAAAATAGCATTTTTATTGATTAAGATGTTTGCAAACTCTCTTTCACCAAAGGGATCTTAAGAACACAAGGAGGTTTTCTGGGGATCCAGGAAAACAGAGCCATCTTCCACTTCTAAAAAGATACACATTGTGGAAGTACATTGTTAAGAGTTGAGTTGAGGGATGCCCTGGTTGCTTCTGTCCAATCGTTGTGGTGCTCATGGTTTCCTCTTCTCCTAGGAGTGATCCTCTTGCTGCTGGAGCGCCTACGCCGAATCGGCTGGGAGCAGATGTGGCGCCTGACAGCCGAGCGGGAGCTCATGAGCATGCTGTCCACCTCGCTGGCCGACCAGGCAAGTGCTCTGAGCTCTGCATGCCTCGCTGTCCTCCAGCCTGGGCCCCCGGACACACCTTTTGTCTCCTGCAGACATTGTGGGTTATAGCGGGATAAAGACCTATTTATTTCTTCCTCGTTTGGCTTCACACTTGGTTTTACTCTGGGCCTTTCTCCTCTTCCAGAGTGCCCAGTGTGCAAACTGCAATCTCTCTTTTAGGACATTTTTAATGCAGTGATCAAACAGAGCCCAACGCTGGTATACCAACTCCCTTGTTTCTGGAACGTGCAGCTCTCTGATCACACCCGCGCAGAGCAGTGCTACACAGAGGTGTCTGATCTTAAGGTGGGCATTTCCTCCCTGGCTGAGTCTTCCCTGAATTCCTTTTGCAATGGTGACCCTTGGCTGAGCCTTCCAGGCATTGCCAGTCTAGGACAATGTTAGTTCTGCAGGGGCTTGACTGAAGATGTGGAGTGGATTGGCATCTGTAACCAGCCTTATATTTTAGCTGTCTGTTCTCAGGTGATCCACTGGAACTCTCCCAAGAAGCTGCGGGTGAAGAATAAGCACGTGGAGTTCTTCCGGAACCTTTACTTGACCTTCCTCGAGTATGATGGCAACCTGCTACGCAGGGAGCTTTTTGGCTGTGCCAGCCTCCCCAGCTTGCCCAGTGGCCAGGTGGGAGCCTAATTTTCTGTCCCCCCTTCTTCTCATGCCTGAAATGGAAAATCCCTCCAGACTTCCCATTTATTTAGCTGCTCTCTTAAATGGAGGGGGTGTGTAGCTCAAAAAACTATGTGCATGCCTTACTATGCAACCTGGCCTCTTTAAAACCCTGATTGTCTCGGGATCCTTTTCTAAGTGAGGCATCTTCATTCCAGCTAAGTTGCCTGGTGATGGTGATTTTTAGTCGTTGTTCTACTTGCACCCATGATATTTTGCTTGGGTTTCATTGTTCTCTTCTAGTTTTTATTCCTAATAAAATGTAATGGCAAACCTAAAGAAATCTGGCACGTTTTCACCACACTCAAAACAACGCGCTCGCATTATTTCAGTTAGGATTAGTGGACTGATGAGGTTATGTTCTGCTTAGTACAAAACTCAAGACCATGGTTAGGCAAACTGAGGCCTGGGGTCTTAGATTGGGCCTGGGATCAGGCCCAATCGCCTTCTCAATCCGGCCCGCGGATGGTCCGGGAATCAGTGTGTTTTTACATGAGTAGAATGTGTCCTTTTATTTAAGATACATCTCTGGGTTATTTGTGGGGCATAGGAATTCGTTCATCCCCCCCCCATATAGTCTGGCCCCCACAGGACCTGAGGGACAATGGATCGGCCCCCTGCTGAAAAAGTTTGCTGACCCCTGCTCAAGACCCTCCCCACTCTCCCAGCAGTATCTCAGGCTCTAGAAGCTCTGCCTTTTAAAGCTGCTTTGTGGCTGTGCTTCACTCTAGGTCAACTTGCCAACTTAGCCTTATCTCTCTCTCCTTGTCCTCTCACCCCTGTGTAAAATTTAGCTCCAGCAGGCCCTAGAGGAGCTGGATGAAGATGATCCTTGCTATGATTTTCGGAGACAGAGCCTTATTCAGCACCGGGTGCATCTCTTCTTCCTGCAGTACGATTTCCCGATCTTGGCTGATGCAATTGATGTCACTCTTGTAGCTCAGCTCTCCATGGACAGGTACCAGATGGGAAAGGAAGAGGGGAAGATGTTGTGCCTTCCAGCATAAATTCTTCTGCTTGGGAGCTAAACGTCCAGCCAGCTTGTGGCTCTTTTATATGAATTTATTGGTCCAGGAGGCCTCTGTGCCCAAGCTGAGTTAATCAAACTGGAAATCTCTATGGCAATATTCTCACTGCCCAGCTGCGAGGGTGACAATCCTTTCCAGAGAATTCTGCTTGTTTATTTTTTAGAATGGGTTTCTATCACCCAGAGTTGCTGGGAAATATTTAGCAAAAGATGACTAGTATCTCTTGAATACTAGAATAGAAGAAATATGGCAGTGAAATATGAAAGGAACAAAACCTAGCTGCATGAGTCAGAAAATAGGTGCAATGGTGCAAGCCAGCCATTAAAAGAATGGTTCTGATGGTGGCAGAAGGATTGGACAATAGTTAGGAAGAGGAGCAACACAAAACTAATACTGTCCAGATCAGTTGCACCAAGTTTTGTAAGATTATATTTTAAGAAGCCAAGGAATTGTGTGCAAATGGTGGCAGCTTCCAGGACGTAGTGTAGATAGCCTCCTCTGATACAATTATCAACAGAAGCTTGCACACACAAGAAACCAGGAAGGAAAAACTCACTGCAGGACTGGATGCAGATTCTCCTGTTCCTTCAGGCCTGGGTGGCTCAGCCTTGTGGCTTTTTGTTGTTGCCAACTGAGGGTGTCTTGCACTCTTGACTTGTCCCATTGATTTGCAGGTTACAGATGCTGGAGGCCATATGCAAACACTGGACAGGCCCCATTAGTCTGGCGTTATATATGTCAGATGCAGAGGCCCAGCAATTCCTGCGCTATGCCCAGGCCTCGGAAGTGCTGAGTAACCGCAGGAACGTTGCCTATCACATTGTGTACAAGGAAGGGCAGTTTTACCCTGTCAACTTCTTGCGCAACGTAGCATTGAAGAATGCACAGACATCTTATGTTTTCCTGACGGACATTGACTTCCTGCCTATGTATGGCCTCTATGATTATCTCAGGTGGGTGCTTTGCCCTTTCCCAGCCTGTGTGAAGCAGTAGACACTTCCATACTGGGAGAGGATGGCTCCACCAGTATGTGTCGGTCCCATGCCAGCACTGAACATTTTTCATGGGGAAGGGATACAGGATGCTTGGACTCCTCCGTTTAGCAACAGACCAACAGCATTTCCCCCTCCCCTTTGTGCCTCAGGACCTCCATTTTGCAGCTTGAGCTGCCCCAAAGGAAGGCAGCCCTCATTGTGCCTGCATTTGAGACTCTGCATTACCGCCTCACCTTTCCCAAATCCAAAGCGGAGCTGCTCTCCATGCTGGACATGGGCTCCCTCTATACCTTCAGGTAGGTGTTGGGACCAAAAAACCCCTCGCTAGCAGCTGAAATGTTGGCTCCACCAATTGCTGGACTGCCCTCTGAAACCAGATAACAGGCATGACCAGCCCCAGCACTTAACCCTTCTTAGTGGTGGCTTGCAGTCTAAAATTTGACTGGCCATTTTCAACTGGCATATGTGCATTCATTCTTCTGTTGGGATGTAGGGGCACAATTTGCCCCCTCTTTATTTTCATTCCATGTTGTCCCCTCTCCCTGCTTTGGAGCCCCGTGCTGAGCATGGTACAAATATTTTAAATAAATAGTCCCTTTCCTCATTTCCATCCCCCCCCCAACTCTTCGTTGGATCCTATGATTCTTCTGCTCTTCCTCATGCCCTTTTCCTTAGTCCTGGGCTCATCCAGTTCCCAGCCACCTGTTAGGGCACAGCTGTGCACTCATAGGGGCATATTTGCATCATTGCCATTTTACAGGTGGGGAGTTGAGACCAAGGTGACTTTGCCCTGGCCATGCTGTGGGTCTGTGGCAAATCTAAGACATGAAGCCCGATCTCCCTCATCCAAGCCCAACTCTGCCCTGCTGACTACAGAGGTTCAGAATGGCTCTAAGAGGCTGGCTACCCCAGCCAGTGTGGTGCAGTGGTCGGAGTGCCAGACTAGGAGACAAGGAGTCCGAGGTGCAGACTTTTCTCAGCTCCCTTGTGTATCTGTGTGCAGGTACCATGTGTGGCCTCAGGGCCATGCCCCAACGGACTATGCCAAGTGGCGGACAGCCACGGTGCCCTATCGCGTGGAGTGGCAGCTGCACTTTGAGCCTTACGTTGTAGTGAGGCGCGACTGCCCCCTGTACGACCAGAGATTTGTCGGTTTCGGCTGGAACAAGGTGTCTCACATCATGGAGCTTGACGCCCAGGTGAGTGTGCTGCTTAATATCTCCCGCAAGGTTGCCTCTTTATGCATTCCCAGAAATCCAGGGCTGGGGGGTGTGGCTTCCGAGGGAGCCGGCCTTTCTAGCAACTTCATGCCTTTTTGTAGGAGAATGAGCTGCTGGTCTTGCCCAATGCCTTCATGATCCATATGCCTCACGCACCCAGTTTTGACATCTCCAAGTTCCGCCTGAGCTCCACTTACCGCGACTGCCTGGAGACCCTGCGGGAGGAGTTCCACCAGGACCTGTCGCGCAAGTACGGCGCCGCTGCACTCAAATACCTCACTGCCGAGAGAAGCCTGTGAACGGCAAGACACACACCAAAGGACAGTCCGTGCAAGGCAACTCCTGCCCTGCAGAGGAGGGACAGCGGACCACGCTCTTGTCCTGGAGCAGTTCAGACCTACGGCAGAGCCACTCTCCCAATGGTAGCCGGGTGCTACACACTTTGTCTAAGTTGTGGGTACAATTGCAGCCGGTTGGGGTGGGGCAGGTGGCATATCATTCAGGGCTATGGAGCCAATCAAAACAATGCTCCCAATCTAAATCAGGCAAGTTACATACATTTGTGTACATCTGTTTCCAAATTGAGGGGGAAAGCATGGGAATGAAGAGGAGGGAAGGTGTGCTCCTGGAGAGCCACTTCCTGTTGGTGTAGACAGTAATGAGGACAGACCAGTAGCCTGACTCTAAAGCAACTTCCTCTGTTGCTGTTTTGAAGGTGGGCCTTTCCCACCCCACGAGCCTGATGCCTTAATTCAGCTACAGTCACCTGTTTCCTGTGGTAGAAAGGTAGACTAGACGTGGAAATTGAGACTTCTACTAATGTGTTGTGTCCCTCTATCAGTGTAGTAGCCCCATCTTATTTCCAGCTCTTTCATTTGTCCCCTCTAAGCCAAATAGGACAATTATGACTAAATCATATAAAGTGAGCGTCTAGAAAATCTTATGTGAGCTATTCCTATATATGTGGCAAGAGGGACTGTATGCATATACGGGCAACTCAATTTGTGCATGGGTTGTATGTCAGGGTACTGTGCATGTTGGTGGAGCATGCATAAGCCCACCCGACCCTGTAACACCATCTTGCAGGTCCAAAACCAGCGTATGTGTGCACAGTTGCACATTCTTTGAACCCATGCAAAACAGGAGTTGCCTGAACCCTTTTACAAATCTGCATAGCCTTCCTGTTGGTCATGGATCAGGGCTTTACTGATGGGAAAAGGATGATGTGGGACCTACTGTGAAAGTTTAAAGTGGGGAGCCTGAGGCCTAGGGGCTGCATGTGACCCTGCTTATCTCTATGGGTGCAGCCTTTCCTTTCCTTTTTATAATGTGTCTGTAGAGAAGCCCTGCACTGGAATAGAAAATATTTTAGCACAGTGTTTCCCATAGCACACACACAACTACACAAGGCAGAAGAGTCACAACTGTTGCTTCACCCACATTCTGCCTTCGGTGCTATTGACCACCACCACATGGCTTCTGGGAAATTGCCCACCAAGAAATGTGGCTGTCAGGGGTAGTGGTAAGGAACATTCTCTTCAATCTGCCTTGTGCCTACTTCATGGATAACTTTACTATCTAGAAAAAAGCCTAGTGTAAGGAAAGCCAGGTCCTTGTTACAGGGGCTATATAGCGCACATGCTTTGCTGTGAGTACATGGCTGAAACCAAGATCCCTTTAGTCCAAACGAACTTCTTTCCAACAGGATTCAGGTGAGAGTCCTTGAAAATGTGTAAGCAGGGCATTTTGGAAAAAGCCCAAACCCTGCTTGCCTATTCGCCCCCCACCCCCACATCTAAAATGCGGGTGCAGTTCATCTCACCAGAGCTAAATAGAACCTCTTATCATGGCTACTACTCAGTAAATCTTGTTTAGCTTGATGTTGCACATCATTGCCAAACATACTTTCCCCCTCCCATGGAGGAACGCAAGTCTTGCCCTTCCTATATCTGCTGGACTATGGCCTTGATCAGCTGCTTTCCTGAGTAATATCAGCTCAAACTGTGTGTTTGTATGATCAGGACCAAGGACTGCATAATTGGGCCTTGTGCAGGAGTCCATAATGGAATCGGATTGTCTTCAGTCTAGATGCAGTTAAGTGTCACAGCTGATTACAGATTAAGTCTGTGCAACCATGGAAGTAGGCAAGTCATTGCATGCAGGCTTCCGTCCTGATAGCTGCTTGGTGAACCTGATGCTTAAGGGACTAATTCCACTTCTTGAAGAAAGGAACACATGAGCATATTGCTGTATCTGCAACTGACGTAGGGTCTGTTAATGTATGCTGTAGCTGAATGTCTGTGCTGGGAGCAGCTTCAGCCCAGCCATGGTCCACAATTATCAAACACTGGAGCACAAGGATGGAGATGTAATGGGAAAACTCTTTCCTTGCTGTTTATATAATTTAAGGTGATTTCTCACAAGCTGTAAATGATTTGGGTGTCATAGATTTTGGTAGTTTCTCTCTTTGGTTCTGGAGTCTGTCTAGGGTCTTCTGCTGCTGGACTCTTTGATTTTTCCTTTGATTTCATGGAATTCAAGAGCTTCCAAAGTGCTGGGATTAAAGTTTTCCATCCCTCTAGACAGGCTGATGTAAACGCCGAAACTGTCCCACACTGAGCACTGTACAGCATGGGCACAAGTATTCCTTTTTAAAAAACATTAAAGTTTTGAGGAAAATCCTTTTCAAGCTGCTGTGAGAGTTGTTTGGTTATTATGTCCACATAGTATTAATGCGTTCCTCATTTCTACTAGTCATGAAAATGAGGAACAGGGGAGAGAACAAACTAGAGAAACAATTCCTTCAGGGAACTCTTGGCTACAACCCACAAATCTGCCAGGGACTGGAAAGTATTCTGCATGGTATCCAACTTTCTTTTACTCGAAGTAGATCCACTGAAATTAGTGGGCCTTAGTCAGGTTAATTAGTCATTATTTCCAACAGGTCTACTTTCTGAGTAAAACTTAGTTACCACCCACTTAGCACAATCCATACAGGAAGCTATTCCCAGAAGTTGAAGCACACTTGACTTACTCTACAGCCCTTATAGGACCAAGCTGTCAGTGATTGCAGTAGACTTTGCCAAGTTCAGGTCATTGCCAACTCTCCTTGCAGGTCCAGGGAGCTTTAAATTCTGTAAAGAAGGGAAACTGAAGCCCAGACTCTTTATCATTATAAAACTTTGTATTTTTTTTTTCTACAGGCCAAGAAATAATAAGTATAGGAGAGGTTCAGCTTTGCAGGTGTGCTGTAAAGGTCCCCTACCTGCTTTTATGGCTGATCAGCTGTGATATCATAGACATTGCAAACCTCTAACTGCTCGGAAGAACAGCCTCAAAGTGTAGAATGAGGAGGACTGGAGGGAAGCATAAGGTCAGCACAGCTGGGAAAAGACCTCATTGCATTGGAGGATTTTGAAAATGGGAGAAAGGAGCTCAATATAGCATAGCAGAGCACTAAATGGACAAAAGGCTCTTCCCTATACTATAAGCATGCGATGGTGAAGAAAACTGTTGCAATGGGGCCCCAGGGGAAAAGGCCAAGTGAGGAGAATTGAAAGGATGGGAGAGAGGAGCTGAAACGCAGCTCTGAGTGTTCTCTATTTATATGGGGCCTACACTAGAAATACAAGACAGAATTAGGCCTTGGGCTAGCCTTAGTTTCATTCAATTATGTATTCTTAGCTCCCTGGCAGTACCCCTGCCATGATTGGCAAGCAGCCGCCTTTCCAAATCCTGGAAGTGCCAATATTGATCTGCCTGCAGTGTCTGCACCTTTAGGGTGTGGCACAACATACCTGTTTGCAGTTAAACCTTCAGCTTTGATGGGAGAAGCTGCATTTCTCTTCGTTTGCAGCTTCAGTGTGGATAAAGCAAAGGGTGATCAGCACACATGAACACAGCTGCATGATAAACAACTAGAGACAATAGATTTCATAGTTTTATTTAGTAAAATGTTAAATAAATACAAATTGATCGTTTATTCTGGACCCCTTCTTTTTCTTCCCACCTTAATAGACTAAAATCTAGACACAATTGTACCAAACCCACAAGGGACTGGAAGGCTACAGAAAAGAAGGCAGCAAAGAGACTGCAAATCACTATGAGCACCAGGCTATTCAATTTCTTAAAAAAAGAAAAAGAAAAACTTAACAAAAAAGAAACCCACCTAACCAACAGAAGTCATGCATCCATATAACATTCACAGGGTGTAGATCTGTGAAAGCAATATTGTGCCCAGTTCACTTAAAGGTATCGGAACTCAGGATGGATGCAGAGGCAGCACGAGTGAGGTTGAGTTTATCTGGCACAAACATCAGGAGAAGAAGAGATGGGAGGATGCTGGCTATGTATGAATCAATACATCAGTGTACATGGGGGAGGAGGGTTTAGAAACCCACTGCCTTAAAAACAAAGGCTGTGAATTTCCTTTTAGGGTCATGGCCTCTTTCACAGACCACTTATTTCAAAGAGTCCTTATTCCAGTTACTAGAAATATTCTGGCTTCAACAATGGTCTTGAGACACAGATGGGAGAGTTGGCTTGTAAGCAGCTCACTGCCTGTTCCTCTACTACCGAAGAATGGAATGAAACTACAACATAAGCCACAGGTGAGTGTAACATCCAACAAACCACTTGGACTTGACAGAGTAGAAAAGCTAAGGACTATTCAGTATTTGCTAGTTCGGATATGACCAAACTGACATACAATTTCAAGATAAAACTTTATTGATAATGCCCGTTCTTAGTCTTGGTTCACTTCTCACAGGCCTGTTGTTCATAATGTAAATTGGCACTAATAGGACTTTTCAACTGGTGTCCTCGTGAGACTCCAATGCAACCAGCAAGGGTGTGTAGACCCCTGCTGTTGTTCCATGCCATAGGAAGAGTGAAGGTCCAGCTTAGTCCAATCCTTGCTAAAGCACATTCTCTCAACAAGGCGCCTTCCTTCACTGTGGGGATGTACAGGCAGTGGCGTAGCGTGGGGGGTGCCAGGGGTGCCGGCCGCACCGGGCGCAACATTTTGGGGGGCGCGTTTGGCCGGCCCCCCTCGAGGAAGCGGGAACCTCTCCAAGGCGCAGCGCGCCGTCGGTGGAGGAAAAGAGCCGCGCAGCAGCAGCAGCAGCAGCAAAGCCGGGAGGAGGAGGAGGTGGAGCGAGCCTGCTAATTGCTTGCTGGGAATTACCGTAATTTTCGCTCCAAAACACACACTTTTTTGCTCCTAGAAAGGAAGGGAAAATGCCTGTGCGTGTTACAGAGCGAATGCACTCATGCTTGCTTTACAGCCAGGAGGAGGGGGTGGAGCTGAGGAGGAGGGAGGGAAGGAGAGCCATGCCAGCAAAGCGGGCAGCAGCCGCTTACACGCGAGGAGGGACAGACGGGAGCCATAGCGAGCCGGAAAAAGCGGTGCGTAGCCAGCAACAGCTGCTGCAGCCTCAGCTAGCAAAGGTCCGTGCGCTCTCTAAACGGAGCAATGAGGCTGCAGAGGGACGGCAGGGCACAGGAGGGCTCTGAGCCACGAGCGCAGTGAAAACCAGTAAAAAAGTTTTTTAAAAGGCTGCTGGGGACAGGAGGGCACGGGATGAGGGAGAGGGGGAAATTACAATTCTCCCAGCGTCTCAGCTGATCCGCTGAGCAGGACTTGGGTTGCAGGGGATTCACCATTAGCTGTGTAAAGCAGCAAAGAGGGAGAGAAGGAGCAAAGCGGGAGTGGAAAGGAGCTGCTTACACTGCTGTAAGTGGCTGCTGTCCGGTTGGCTCCTTTAAAGCAACAGTGCTCTTTCCCTCCCCCCTCCCCGCTCAGCTCTCCGAAAAGCTCCTTCTCCACCCACCCCATGCGAGCTCCTTTTCCCCTTAGACCCCCCTCCTGCATTATTAGCCACATCCTTCTCCACCCACCCCACGCGTGTTCCTTGTCCCCTTAGCAGTGGCGTAGCGTGGGGGGTGCAGGGGGGGCGGCTGTACTGGGCGCAACATCTGGGGGTTAGGGTTAGGGGGCGCAAATCCACGGGTTAGGGGGCGCAAATTACTTGCCTTGCCCCGGGTGCTGACAACCCACGCTACGCCACTGTGTACAGGTGTGGCACTGTGGAGCGAGCAGACTCCCCAGCAGATTGGGATGTAGGTACAGCGCTTATTGCTGGGGGAGTGGATGGTGGACTCAACACTCACCCTCTAGGCTCACGTAACTGAGCTGCAAAGGGAGCCCTGGCTAAACTCAAGAGGAGTATGTGCTAGGGGAAGGGGGATGATAAATGCCAGGGTCAATAACTATTTATTCCAACCACAATAAAAATGGAGGTGCTGTGCAGAGCTATTTCTAAAAGCTGCCAACACTGATGCAGATAATGACAGCTTCACCTGGGAATGTTTGCTGTTGTCCATTCTTGGTCATGTAAAGAAACACTCAGCACCTGGGCAAAATTATAGACCCCATAACAAAGAGGCTTCTTATCATCCTCAGCTGATGGGAAGGAAATTAGATGCTGTAATTGTCACTGAGTTTAGGCCTTTCTGTTTTTGTGACCTGCAATGTCATTTGCAGAGGGTTAAACTGGGATTTAGCACATAATTGAGCATTGTTCTAACCTGCATACATATTAGAAAACAAGTAAAAAAAAGCCTCCTAAACTTTTTTGAGGGGGGGGTAGGCATTTCTGCTTACCCTGGACCCAGACACAACTGTGGGACTTCCCCCTTAAACCTAGCAGTGTGTGGGACACAGGAAACAGCTGCATTTGCAAACCTGTTTGACTGGGGACGCTGTTAGATGTACACTGCATTACTGGATTGACCAAGGGCACCAAACTAAAATAGCAGTGTTACAGTGCTGGGGCTGGGGTCATGAACTGCAGTCACATTTTAGGGGAATTTAAAAGGTTACATAAATAATGGTCAGACTTAAAATGGTTTGAAAGAAGTGAAATAAAAGCAGTAAAGATAGTACACAGACTTGTTGGCCCGAATGAGAAACGTTGTTTTTGCACAAGTACCGACTATCATCTTCTAATTTGTATTTTCCAATCACAAATGCATGGGCTATGCTTGCTGCAATTTCCCAACAACTAGGAAGCTGTAGTTATTCTTGTGACAGTGCCTCTTCAGTAAAAAAAAATTCAATTGCAAATAAGCAAATAAAAACTCCCGGCTGCATCCTCAAATATGGATGGACTTTGCTGCACCAGCACGTGAGTGTACACCCTGACGTTCACACAGCGTACCACAAATGAGCCAAGGCAGCAGCAGGCAACTCCTGCAGAATGTTTAGGAGTAGGATGTAAAGAGGCAATGTCATTTGCATGCAAGCAACTAGCCAGGATCCAGCCTTCAGGTGCAGAACACTGTCCTCTCATAGTACTAATTATGTTTCTGAATTCTAAGAAAATCAGGGTGACAAACTTGTTACCCTGATGAACAAAGATACTGTGGTTCCCCTACGTTTTCTCAAGGCAAAAGGAAATCTGACACATCTGCTACCCAAGCAAGGATCTTTCTGCACAGCCAAACAAAACATGCCCAAACTTTATTTTCTCCTTTGGCTATATTTCCAGAAGCCAAATCCCTCTTAAACTTAGCTGGTGGCATTTCCAGGACAGGAGATGCCAGAGAGGCGGGGGTGAAGGGGCAAGGAGAGAAGTACACACAAAATCAGAAGAATGACAAAATTAAAGATTCACAAGAGTACCTTGCTGCTCTTTACTTTAAACTAGCTGATCACTCCAGTGCTGCAGGCTAAGCAAAGTTATACCACAGATGTCACTAGTCAAGAGAGGCCAAATGTAAAGTAACCCCCCCCCCCAAAAAAAAAATTCCCATGGCTAAATCCAAAGCAGGGTTTCAACACATGGGAGACCTTTGTATAATAAATTGTTTTCCCTTCAGAAAGTACCAGGGACTAACTGTCAGCCCCATTGTGGGGGCATAAAGATAGCATGTTATTAATACTACTTTGCTGAGGCACAGTTTTTAAATTGCTTAAAAGTGGAAGGTAGCAGACAAATGCCCCTTCCTCAGCACAGATCAACACACATTAAAAACTCTCTTCCCCTTCCCCCAACAACAGCCTTGCACTGAGCTCTAGTCTTCCCTCTCTGTGTGGTACAAATTTTCATGGCCTGAAACACAAAGGAGGCAGAGAATTCAACACAAGATCACTATTTTTGGCACCTGTGCCATGTTTAAGATAAAGCAAATAGTTCTGCACTCCCTGCACCTTACATCATAGGCTAAGAGGGCATGATGGCCATTGCCCAAATTCATGCATGTGTGGCCATTCTGAATGAACCTATGGCTTTAAGGGAAAAGAATACAAGGATGGCAAGTGTGTTTGGTGAGGGGAAGGAAGGGCCACATGCACATGGGAACAGCTGAAATCAGAAATCCCATTCGCCTGCCTCTGTCAACAGCCAACACCAATTTATCAACCAGAAGAGGGTAATTGGCTTCCTCCTGTTCCTTGCTGCTGGAAATCCAGCTTCTGGCCTGAAATATGAGGACTTTTCACCCATTACACTCAGAATATCTAAATGTAGGTTTGCAAATTGCGTGACCCATCAAGCCAAATGCAAACCACCCAACACACACGGTTGCTTGTTTGCTGCACTCAAAGGCAGGCAAAACCAGGAGGATTATCAGGGATCTGGTGGGCTACATTTGTATTGGTAGGTCACAAGATGAAAAGGCCTCTCAAACATGCCCCCCATGATATTTTGTTCTGTGTATTGCTATAAAAAGTGTGATTTCCTCTGAGCAATTTTCCTGATTGGCTGCCTTCTGGCTTTACTTGCTAATAACACCAGGTACTTAGAAAGCTGCCAACTTCACTATGGAGTATCAAAAGTCAAATGGTAAGGCCTGATCTTTTTCAAACGTAAAGCTAAGGCTATTTGACACGAGTTGTCCTTACTCTTCACTGATATGTATAATGATAAAAGATCAGCTGCTGGACCGTGAGCATAAGTGAGTCTCACTGAGGAGTCCTTGAGGGACAAGATTGGAGGCTAGAAGTAAAGAAACCGCCACAAACAATGAGTGGCAGGAACAAAATCCAGATGATTATGTAAATAAAGTGCATTAGGATGCATAGTTCTTCAACACAGAATAGTGAAAGCACGGCAGCACCATCACGGGCTGTCTGACAGAGGAGAGACTTTCTAACATGGACCTGGGCTGACTGCCATGACTTACGCCAACATGAGTGCTGCCATGGAAGTGAAAGGGTATGAAATATTGGCCATTTGCACTTGTCTATGCAAAGGTGGCTATTTCAGACTCGCTCATCTCATGTCCAGCACCAGCATTTTAATAGCATGAAATTACTGCGACAATTTGCTTCAGAAGACAAGCTGTGCTAAGCAGAGCCGGATCCCAACGCTAAAATCCTTTGTCTCCACGTTCTCCCTATAATCTAGGTGCTATAACGACAAAGATTTTTAAATGCTGCCAATGCTCTCTTGTGCTTTTAGGCACAAGAGTTAATTAGGAGAGCTTAACAGAGGAGAGATTCCACCAGTTGGAGGATGGTTTGCAGATTGGATGCAGTTCAACCCCACAGGCTATTTGAATGGCATGACAATCTCTCGACACTCACCCCCAAGGCATTTTTCAAACAGAAACACAGCAGAATGGCAACATCATAAGCAAAACCTGTGTTAAAAAATTCTAAGTACACAGCATTTTCTCCAGTTCTGACACCTTTTTAATAGAAATCACTTGTTTAGGAAACAAATAGCACTTTTGTAATTTTTACAATGTTTCTTACCTTGATCTTATTTTTAAGTAACACTAGGAAGACCTCAATATCTTTTTTCTTTTTTAATTTAAAAAAGTTGTTTTTCCCCCAGATACAAAGATTTTGCCCTTGCATAAAAAACAGTGCCCAAAACGATGACACACGGACTCACAAAGACTCACTGTATCTCACTGACACTATTACTTCTAATCTATACCATGCAAGGTCCCATCTACCTCTTTAATCGGACTGTCAGCCTGAAAAAAACAGCTTTTCTATTCCTTACATTTGTAACCAAAAGAGAAAGGAAACAAAGGAAACAGGCATTTTAATTTTTTTTGTTTTTTTTTACTATTTGGGCCATATGTTTGGGACATGTGCTGTACTGTTTGGAATATCACTTTTGCTTGACAAGTGTACAAAAAAAAAAAAGTTGGAATTTTCAATTCAGTTGTGACCCGCTTTTCTGAAACCCCAGGCTGATTATATTAGTCCCCCTCCCTTCTCCTCTTCCTCAGCAAAAGCTTCCTGGGCCAATGTGATGCCCAAACCAGCAATTTATTTCACTTGTCTATTTGGAAAAAAAAGTGGATAAACCCAAAGCTGCCAATCTAGTAATCCCCAGCCTGAGTGTGCACTAGATACTTAGTGAAAAACCCTTCCCCATTCCTTTTTGTCTCTCCTGTCAAAACAATAGTGAATACTGCTTATTGGATAGGCTTGGTCCCCACTCCCACCACCCCACCCCTCTGGACCCTAGGACTTGTTAATTCATATTTCTGGATTTTTGGTTTAGTAGTACGGAGAATTCAGAAACAGGAAAAGCCCACAGGCTCTTTGGACTTGAAGTTTCCTTAGCTAAACAAACTGGTCTGCAGATAAGATTTGAAACCTGCTCCTCCTCCCTGCTCCCCACCCCCAAATAAAAACAAAAACAAAACAAACCTAGAGTGGCTGTGGAGGCTGCTGCAGGCACACACTGGTGTAAAAGAGAGAAAGAGAGAGAGAGAGAGTAAATATATTATTTAACTTGGCATGGTGCTGGCAAAGAACCTCCAGCTGGCACTATTCATGTAACATGGTCCAAACTTTGCACGTACACACAGAATAAGGAGGATCGATTGGCAACTCTGGTGCCGCCTGGCACAAGCCTCTTCGCACTCTTTCTGGAACCAAAGAGTTCTGCGCTTTCCAGAAGAAATCCAGCTTTTCTTTTCTAGAGTTTTATTGTTTTGCTCTTCTGCCTCGCCGCCATCTCCCCCGGCTCCTTCTTCCTGTGCTATGTTATTTAGTCTCGTCGCCCTTGGTACAGTTCACCATGCAGCTCTGGGAGGGGGAAGAGGCTGGGGTGGAGGCGGCGGCAGCCTTTGCGCTATTGGTAGAGTCCATGCCATTGGAGATGGCGACGGAACTGCCCTCAGAGTTTATGGGTTTTGAAAGGTTGATGCCCTGGATGAGGCGAATTAACTGTTTTACCTTCTCCAATGAACTGTGCATTTCCTTCTGTTTTGCCAGGATGGTGTTCTTCATTTCCATACATTTCTGAAGCAGATTGGAACGACATTGCATTAATGAGTGCGCTCATAAAAAAAGGCCCAAACGAGAATGAAAGTTAAAGCAAAGGGATCCCAAGATCCACAAGAGACTGCAAAAACAGATTCTTTGTCAGAGTACCTGGTGGATACAACATGGCTCCCATACCAAATACGGCCCACATAGCAAACCAAAGAGTTCAAAGAAAGCAAATGCTATTTCACAGCCACGACTACAGCATATAGATTATAACTATGACTTAGCAGAGAAAAAGAAGCTCTAACAAACATAAGAAGCCTCTGAGACTTTTAAAAAACACCACCATGACAAAGCTGTGGTGAAGCACGGCTCAGAACTGATACTGTGATTGGTCACAGTAAACAGTCATTTTCTAAGATTCACGGCTGTAGCTTCTAGCGGAACACAGAGGATAAACAAACCATCATTTAGCACAGCAATACTTACTGTTATAGAATTGCTGAGCTGTTTGACTTTCTGTTCTAGCTGCTCCCTTTCCTGTTTTAAATCTGAACTCCATTTCAGTAATTTCTGTTTTTCCTCTTCTTTTGCTGTGGAAGAGAGTACATCAATTGTATCAATTATGCCCTGCAGATGGGATCTCTCAGCTGCTTTTGCACAATGGAAAGCCAGTACTGGACCATACCTGAAGCTGCAGGTGCAGACATAAAGAGAGTCAGATGAAGCTGTCATATCCATTTCATTACTGGGGTTATCATGCAGTCAGCTCTTAATTTCCTTCTGAAAACAAACATCCTACTCCCTTCCTCAAAGTAACATTTTCCAAAGAAAAGAAAACCAAGCCAAGCCCTGCACCATTTTCTTACCTGCTTTGTATGCAATATATGAATGAACAATTGCTAAAGTTCCTGGCCACGGGATTGCTTCTTCTTTCTTGAGCATCTGAAAGAAAGGAGAAGGAACACTTGGCTGACATGTTCTACCTCTAGGAAAGATGACACACACTAAAGGGTATCTTACACAACAACTATTAAAATCAATGCCATTCTCTTCTTAGGCCCTCCCCAGGCAATAAAACAACTTAAAATCCCCCTTTGTTCTACTCTTGGGTTGCTGCTAGTTCTGGTCCGGGACAAGAAGCCTGATGCTTTGTTGACATGTGATGGATGTGGGAGGCCAATGGGAAAGAGAAATGAACCAGACTATATCCACATATCAAAAGGAGGGAGAGGAAGACTGTGCTGCAGTGCTATCAAGTGCATGGGGATAACACGTAACCTTTCAAGAACTAAATAAAAAACATAAATTTCATAAAATGGTAAGGAAGGGTAGCCTTGTTGCTTTAAAGTCTACATTAAAAAACAAAATGAAGGCAATTACATGATCATTTCTATGCTTGGTTGTTTCAGCAGGCAAGCATTCAGCCCCTAAAGAATTAATTAAAAAAAAATCCCTAAAAGGATAACAAAATAGTGAGGCACTGGTAGGAAGAAGGGGAATTGTGTTACTAATCCCTAAAACATATGTGCCTGTGATATTCAAAACCAGCTTATACATAGCACTCACAATAGTATGCTGAAATGGGATGGGGGGGGGGAGGGGAAGGAAATTCCAAGCAAAAGAATACTGAGGTTTGAGTACTGGGGAAATTCTTCAACAGAAGCATTATCCAAAAAAGATGCCTGATCCACAACTCAACACGCACCTCAAGCAAGTAAACATTGCATTTACTGCACACACAAAAACCTCCACAATAGTTTGGGAAGACCCTCAAGATTTAATAGCATGAAATACTCACACATCTGTGCTAAACCTCCCACAAGGGAAGCCTGTTTAATCACCCTGTCAGCAATTTTGTACATTCCCTTGCATCTACAAACATTTTCTGCTGATGAAATTTTAACAAGCTGAACAGGAATGAAGAGACAACATATCTGATCTTAAAACTTGCCAGTAGAGAGGATTGTGACTTCATGATTCACAAACTGCTGATCTAATTAGCTAAAGGAAAAACACTCTGATAGCAAAGAGCAGTCTCCGTGGAGAAAACTACATGTTACTTTGGCAAACATGCATTTCCCACAAATGTGTTTGTTGGTTAACAGCAATGCAGGAGTAGCAGGGCATTTCCAGAAGAGAATTGGTGGGTGGGAGACGGGTGTTTAATCATGTGGTTATTCATCACAAAACGTTCCTCCCCAGCTGGGCTTATTTTTGCTCTCAGAGCCAGCTATGGGGAAAGATTTAGCATCTATCTCATGCCTGCTAACTCTCACCTGTAAAATGCCCTGTGTCCCTGCATTATGCAAACATTGCTTTTCCAGCATGTAGCTTTGTCCTAGACCTTAAAATACTGGACTTTCCAACACACGTATTGTAGAATGAAGCTAACATTATATATATATATATTGTGGAAGCAGAAATAGATAAAGATGCAAGTGGATCAAAGGGAATCTTCCCCGTAAGTCTTCGAGCTTTGCCATGGCAAATAAATGGCTATTTAGTACCCTGAGATGTGGAACAGAAAAGCAAACGTTTGATGGCTTTGAATTTGTGAGGCCATTTCAGTTCAGGTCAGATATTGTCACCCTCTCAAAGTCTAAGCCATGTGCCCCACCCATTTTGTCCAAAAGCAGAGAACCATTGCGAGAGGCTTCCCCTTTTGTGTCAAACAATACCTGGTCTTGACATTTGGGACAGATCCACATGCCCTTGGGAATAGTTTTCAGAGGTGGGTCCAGACAGTCCAAGTGATACACACGTGAGCACGTGTCACACATCAGCAACTGCCCACTTTTCCTGCAAACACTGCAAAAATCTTCATGGATATCACCCTATAAAATTAGAGGGGGGAAAGGGAACTTACAAACTTTGAAAACTAAATTCCAGTTCAAAGTAAAGTCCTAAGTGAATGAAATCCCCAAAATAATATCCTTTTCATGAAACAGAAAGAAAGCTACCAAAGGGTGCCTGACGATTAGATCCACTTTCTTCAGACAGAAAAGAACCACAAGGAACGTCAAGGGCCACAGCTGCTTCAAATGCCACCATGTCTACCCTAGTACAATTTCAAACTATAAAGCACAGATCACTTATTTATATAGTTAAGGATCACACCCATCTTATTTCCAAGTAAGTGAAATTAAATGTGGGGTGAAAGTCCCAGTGATCCACTGTATGGAAAACATTTTTAAAGTGCCGCAATAGGTTCGGTTCTCCAGGAGGTGCAGAACTTGTCACCCACGTTTCACTTAATGCTGGGTGGGATTAGACAGCGTCTGAGAGTGTGCTGTCATCACCATGCTGATGACACACAGCTCTTATGTCATCTTCTGCAGGTAGGCAGTGGATCTCCTGATTGGTGCCCTGTCATGATAATGGACTGGATGAGGACCAATGACATGAGTCTTAATCCAGCCAAGATGGATTAGCAGGTGAATCTTCTGACCAGGTGAATGGCATGCAATCTGCTCTTGGCAGGGTGAGACTCATTCTGAAAGGTCCATAGTCTGAGTGTTTTCCTGTATCCACTGCTGTCACTTGAGGGACAGGTGGCCCTGGTAGTGCAGAATGCTTTAGCTTCTGTTTTTTGTTACAAAAAAGTTAAAAACCAAAAGATTGTAAGTCACTTGCAGTGTAATTGAAACCTAGGATCCACTGGGATGAAAGAATTTGAATATGGCAGATCTTAATGGGTGCTCAGCCGGTGGATCTTAAGCCGGTATCATTTACACTAGCACAAGTTCCCCCCAGAAGGGGGCATTCTGGAGATGTGGCAGAGCAAGGAGAGACTTACACCTCTTCCAAACACCTTCTGGCTCAGTCAAGTGACCCAGCAGCCCAGCCAATGTAGCTGGCAAAGAGTGTCCTATTCCTTCTGAACTGAGTTTGGAATAAGGGGAACTTTTGCCACTGTAACATGCCAGCATTACTTATGCTAGCTTTCTATAGTTAGGATTGCTCCAATAGAGACTTTTGTAGTAAGCAACTAATAATTTAAATCCAACACTAGTAGCCCGATCCAACACTAGGAGCTCACAATACTGAGGTGCTTATTTTGTTTGGGGATAGAGTGCATAAATCAAATAGTGAATATGAATATTCCAATGCTGGAGAGGAGTGAAACTAACACATATACAAGGAATAAAAGCTGGTATCATTAACCATGATGGATAAGAGAGATTTGCTGTGGTGGTTGCTGCTGCTACTGTATGTCTTTATTTTCAATGGCTATATGACCACACTGGATTGATAAGCCTCTAAGCAAATAAGCAAAATCTGCACAGCTATAGGGGCAGAAAATTGTGAGCAGTGAAGTCATGGCCATTTCTAGGTGCCTGTGACATCTGTACAGCCTCATTCCACGCAGCACGCCAAATCAAAACAAGAAAGCAAGGGGATGGGTTAGGCAGGTGGGGGCCAAAGATAAAATAAAAAATTAATGCTTTCTATTGGCAAAAGAACTGTGGCCTACACGTTGGCAAAATGTGATATCTGGGGAACAGCACTGAGGAGAATGGCTGCCTGGATTCTCTGCAAATATGAGTAAGATCTACATATTTATTGTGCAATAAAATTATTGTTTGCAAAAGGCTATGGAATATAGCCTTGGGCATGCTTAGCATGAGCATAAGCATAATTTCACCTGGGTGCTACCTCTTAAGGTAGCTACAGCCTTTCCTAAGAAATGTGTGTCATGTGCCATCATCTTTTCAATATTTTGGAAGTAGAAGGCACTGGTTGCAAAATTAAGTTAATGTGCCACTTTAAGCCTAATATAACTTTAACCTTGGTGCATCACTGCAATATCCAGTAATAGGTATACTTTTTCTGATTTATTTTACGTAAACTTGGCCTTTCGATAGAAGAGATGGAAAACCTTGACCAAACCAGACTAACACAAAACACCATCCCCAGCTGTAAAATGGCAACAAAGGCCCCAGTACTAGTTTTAATAGCAAGAACATTTCAGTTTTGCATGACTCTTTGCATTACTTTCCCTTCCTTATCTCTTCACTTTAGGATGCAAAATTCTTAGCAAAGCCATTTAGTTTCCTTTTCTCTCTTTCCTTCTGCCGTTACCATCTCATAGTTACTATTTTTATTTGTAGATTACTGTACAGAAATGCAGAAAGAGAAGAAGAGCTAAAAAGAACAGAAATAAGGTAACAGAAAATGGCTTAATACATGAATTTCAATCAACTGAGGGCTGCTCTGGAAAATTGCTACATCCAAATCCCAATCTCTAAAGCTTTCTTCAAATTCAGAATATAGGGATAAAATTTGAAAGAAATAAAAGTGTCACGGCCTCCTTAAAATATGTAATTCAATCTTCCATATCAAACTGAGCAGTGGTAGGATTTGAATTATGCCAGATGTTTTCTACTGCCTTACATAGCATGCTAATGTGCCCATCTTTATTAAGAATACATATTAAATGATGCCAGAATACCAACCACTGGCGGGTGGGAGGATATTACCCACAAACATTAGCTGAGGCTTAAACTTTGACACTGAAAACCAAGCCTTCACACTTTGATGGAAACCTCTCTCTATTAATTCCTAAATTTACTGTGCTATCCTGACTTTGGCATGTAAAGATGCTTTGATTTTGCAAGTTCTACATATCAAATGAGTGCTGGATTCCAATGTTCAAATTATGGGGGGAAGGGGGGGGACTTAATGAAAACCTCACATTTGATCCCTCAACCCCCCACCCAGCTTTTAAGTCAGTCATACCCTTCTCTGTAGCTTTCTACAGTGTTGTAGTAGTAGTAGTAGTAGTAGCTAAGATGAGTTCACAAAATATAAGGGGGTTGGATCCCCTGTGACTTGAGCATTGTTGGGTTCTAAGGTAGTTCAATCTATAATAATACAACCAGTTTCATATTGTCCACTCAACAGAGTTAAACTTTCATGTATCTCTTGAAGCGTTATGACTACCCAAACTCAAAAGGCCTACTTTTTTCTTGTATTTTGTGATTGCATGGAGGACAAACACAATGAGGTTTCCCTAGAACAGGGATGGGGAGCATATAGCTCTCCAAATACTGCTGAACTAATTTACAAAATCCCCTGACCTCTGGCTGTGCTAGCCAAGACTAATGAAAGTTTGAGTACAGCAACATCTGGAAGGCCACAGATCCCACATTCTAGCCCTAGAGCGCCTGTTGAAGTGGAGCTGAAACCTAACGAGTATCTTAATCTGAGTAACTGATTATGGCAGTTAAAGATATTCAGAAGCTAACAAGATCAGAAGGTTGTACTCAGTTGTCTCTCTCCATTAATGGGCAGTACTCTGCACTAGCAGAGGTTTCCATGAATGAAAGGGAAGCAGTTTTCATAACTTCTGGGGGCCACCTGCCCCATCAACCTCCACAATCCTTTGGAGCAGACCAGGGAAGGTCTAGGGACTGCAGACAGATGGGGGGAAATCAGCAAACAATGCCTGCCCCCATTCCATTAAGGGAATCCTATATTGGATTAAAGAATCTTCGGTGAGTGGAGGGACACAACTGAAAACAAACCTATTTACCATAAATTCTCCAAAAAACACACACCACTGAAGTGAAATAGGAGGTGAATTTCTGGAGGAAGCAATACATTCATGTGATGTGTGTACATGTTTGGTGGATGGATATTTAGCAAAACACTCTAGGCTTGAAGGCTGATGGCTAATCAGAATTACATCATTACCGAAAGCTCAGAACATTATGTAAAAATGTGCAACAGACGTCAACTGGAATGACAATGAGCTCACTGTCCTAGTGCTTTATTTATAAAACAAATGTGCTTAAGAATCTAGCAACCTTTGTCAAACCTGTTATAAGTAGAATGTGTTCATGTGCATGTGTGCACGCCATGCTAAATCAGCAGGAAAGTCCTCTTTGTTTGGATCAATTTTTACTACTGCCTTCTGATAGTTTGGGAGATTTCATGAATAATACAATACCTAGAGAATGAATGACTATGGCTCTTAACACAGAACTTGCATCCTATAGGAATGCTGCCTGTTGATTTTATCTTTTGCAATACCCAGCAGTGCAGAAAAGATACTGATGGTGTTCCTGATTTGGCTATTCTTGGCTGCTTCAACAATGAGGCTACAGATACAGTTATGTAAGTTAGAGCAATCCTCAAGCTGCATATTTCATGAATGAGATGCAGAGGCTCTTAGCTCAGCAGCATAAAAAACAGATTGGAGGAACATCTAGTGCAGCCCACTAGAACATAAAAGTTATGCAAGTCTGATTGTGTGTAAAATGTGTTCATTAGTTGGGTCTTACAACCATGGAGCTATTTATTATGAGGAAACGAAGGTACAAAGAAGTGATGAGACTTGACCAAGGTTGTGAGTCCAGAACTTCCAATTCCAACCCAGCTATCATGAGAAGGATGGATTTACCTTCCTTCTGAGTAATAAAAAATTACCACCCACACTCTCTAAAAACAGACAGTGCTGCAGATCAAGCTATGGATTAGATCAACTTTAATTCAGCCTGTGCTAAACTGGCAGAATAGGCAACTGGGCTCACATACCAGGAGGATACTTTCACAGAAAAGAAAACTTTTCCCCAGATAGGTATGCAGAATCCATAAACGAGAAGCAACTGCCAGGTGTCAGTGAAGGCACTCCCTCTGATTCCACTAATGCTGTGTCCAACTATCTTGAGCAAGAATTTCTCCTTACTTTATTGATTCAGTAATAATACGTAATTGTGTGACAGGATCTGTTCTCCTCCTGCCACTAGATTGCTGAAATATATCACATATGCACTGTCTTTAATTCACTGCATCACTGTGCATCTGGGAAGGGCTTATAGAACTTTGAAATATTTCCCCTTCTAACTCTACAATTCTACGATTCTAGGATATGAACATTCTGGCATGTCCTGTGGATATCATATAGATATATATATACTACTCCAGAGTTTGGGTGGGGGGGGTGAATAGGTACAAGTAGAAGTGTAGGGGGCTGAAGAAGGGGGTCATATTATTGCAGTTTACCATAATACCAGTGCATCTAAAGAACCAAATTCTGAAGTCTCCACGGTCTCTTCGAACAGCAAACCTCTCAGGAAGAATTACTTACGTCTGTGGAGCTGGGGCTGGGCAGGGACACAGGATGAACAGTTGCGGGGAAAGAAAATGTGGTCTCTGTCTTTTCATTTTCAGGGGAGTCAGGATGACTGGACAGAGGGGATGTGGGGGTCAGAGCCCCAAACCCCAGCACCGTGTTGTATTTAGGTGGACGACCTACACATTAACAAAAGGGAACAAAAAGGGGAGGGGAAATAATCTTACATACCTTTGGCCAGTGCTCCTCATTGGCTAGCATGAAAAAAAGGAAGTGATGTAGTACAGAGAAGAAGTTAGTATTATAGTCACGAGTGAAAGAAAGCCAAGTCAGGACTGTAAAGTTATTTTTAAGACACTTAAAGGAGAATTGTGTAAGGAAGGATGGTATCACAAGAGAGAAAACACATGCCTTCAGAAAGAGCACTACTCCCAATATATCTATATAACCACACTAATGTCTTTAACTTTTAACTTACCAGCCCCAAATTCCACTGGCAAAGAAAAGCTGCCATGATTTCTACCACTGTAGTTTATCATGGTATCTCCATCACATTGTTATGACCATTGGTAAATCACCCTCAGTGAGCCTAAGGTGAAACCTACATCTAAATACCACCTTTGTGCTAAGAAAAACTCACAACATTCCACAAATGCCAGAGAAAATTATGGCCTGCAACCCCATGAGATCTCTCTCGGCAAAAGGAGCTGTAAGGTAGCCTAAGTGGGAGAAAGCCTCAACAAAGCAAATCTGCAAGTATGAAGAGTTAAGATAAAATCCTATCCTGCTGACTGTAGGAAGATATAACTCACGATAAAGTGTGCTATTATTCCAAGTGAAATCACAACACTGTAGGAAACACCAATCTTTGTCTTTTGTATTACCACTACTCTGATGATTGATGAGAGGCATATGCTCAGAGAGGAATATATAAATAAAGATATTTAAGCAGTCAATAAGCGAAGCTAGAGACTGAGAAAAGAGGCAGGAAGATCAAATTAATCATGCATAGTAATCATTATCTTCAGTAAATGGCACCTAACAACTCTGATGGAAAGAGGCACTGAAGGCCAATGCCCTCTGTGTGTTGAGGGACAGAAAGCCAACATCAGTGCAAAAAAACCCAGTACATCCAATTTTGCTTCAGGTGAGAAACAAATTATGCAAGGAAAGAAGGGCTCCTCTGAACATCTGATCTCCTGGGGAAATGCACTAATAGCTGAACTGAGCAGTTATGGCAGCAATTTTTGGAGAAAGTAAAGCCTGCTCAATGTAAACTGCAATGAGACCATCACCTTATTTTCAAAATGCCAAAAGCTGCCAAAGACTAATAATAATAATATTAATAATAATAATAATAATAATAATAATAATAATAATAATAATAATAATAATATCAGGCACTATCATTTTAAGCAAATTCAAATCAGTGGGCTAAACAGAAAGAGACAAATGCACTCTACTGAGCTACCTAATAACTCACCCAAACACTCATGTGCATGAACACACTCATCCTATTAGGTACATAGTGCATTTATCTTTTAACATTTGAAATATCAAGTATTATACAACTTATGTTCTCTGACCTGGCCATTTGTTTTTGAACAACAGGCCCAGGAGCAGAGGAAACATTAGAAAGCATTACAGAAAGGGCATTCAGTGCTCACCCATGATATTTAGCACTGAACAGAGTCAAAATAAATTAATCTCAAAGCCAAGCTTAGTTCTGCTGTGCAATTGGCTGGCTCTAAGAACACAGCAACCACCACACGAGAGCAGATCAGTAGTAACTTGTCTCAGACACAAAACAGACATGCTTGGTGATGTATTAGCAACAACAAGCATTGATGATATAGTACCTTTCTGATTCCTGGCCATCAACATACATTCTCTGGTGATCTTAGGGTCACCCAAAGCATTAGGAATTAACTTAACCTCTCTTGAACTCAACCATGTCGATAGCTGTCACAACCTACTGAAGCTGGGGGCTTCATCTCAAAACTTCAAAAACATCATCTGCTTCTTGGAGACCAAACAACACTTAAAGGTTCAAGATGCAGGGAGAATGCAGAAACCTTCCCTCCTCAAGGAAAAGTGTTTCTGAGCAAACCTTCCACAGTTCACACCATCTCAGTTTCAACTGGCCTCTCTTTCCTTTAATACTAGATATATTGTTCACAGTGGAAGCAGCACAGTTTAGATCAAGGGATAAAATAGATATCCCAAGTTCTTTTCTTGTTCCATGGATTGGCTGCCCCATGCTCTGCTTTACCTGCCTTATAGTTTTACATGGGCAATTTCTAAAATACATCTCAGGACTGGCTTATATGCAGTTTGCCAGTTTTCCATTTGCAACATTACTCCTAACCCTTAACAGTTTACAGATACACACTAGGGCACATGAATAGATATGACCATGTTACTACTGCCTTTTTCGTTAGTATTTTAATCAACGTTTGCCTTTGCTGGCATGGATTAGTAACCTGTAAAGTGTGTGGGGGGGGAGTATGCAAATGGAAAACTAGTGAACTGCATGTGTAGCAGCCTAAACAAAGTCTGTACATTAAAAACGGAAAAATGGCAGATTACTGGTGCCATTCCACAAACAAGATCAAGAATTCGGAACCTTGAAATCTAAGGAGAAAATTGGGTAGGAAGAATTTTGCAAGCATCCCTGTAATAATTTTAAGAGTACCACGGTTGCCACACGATTTCATCAAATATCAAGTAACTCGCCTTTCAAAGAAACCTGAACATGTTCTTAACAGAACAAGAAATAATTTCATAAACAGTGAGTCCTAACATAGGACCAAACGCACTTAGTCACTACCCAGGAAGAGTCTCAGAATGGGAGCTCAGTTACCACCTTGGCACCCCCCTTCTAGTCTGCATGACAGGTTACATTTACTAATCTGGGTTGGGAATCTTTACTGGCCCAGGGCAGTTTACACACAGGAAATTCTCCCATTTATATCCTTATTCATTCCAGATTACCCCCAAAGCCTACCAACAAAGGATGCTTCTGTAGAGTAGCTGCCTACCAGGGTTACAGCATACCTACTATGTGTATTCAGTACCACAAAACTATTTTCTACATTGTTTTATTTCAGTCCAAAAGAAAGGGAAATAAACATACAGGGAGGTGCTATTATGAGACACCTACCTCGTTTACGTGTCCCAGGATGCATTGTGCTGTTCAGGTATGTGACTGCGCTCTTCTTGCGCTTTACAGAAGAAAGGAACAAAGTAGTTGGTCAACTGTTTTGGCAAGTGAAAGCTACATCTACACACACACACACACACACACACACACACACACACTGACTATATAAAGAATCTGGAAGAACACAAGTGTTGAGTCCCATTGAAGCAAACAGGCTTTTGCACTTAAATCCATAAATTTCAGTAAGAATCAAATGTAGGTTTAACTTTCTTCAGATTATGTCCGTTATCGTTTCAGTGTTTGGATACTACCCTGTAGAAAAGCTAGTCTTTCACACAATTACAGGCAATGCTGATCCCACTTGTGATGAGAGAAATAATTCAATGCCAAGTCTGCAATCATGCCAGAGAAGGAGGAGGAGGGGGGAAGATATAAGGGAAAGAAAGTATAAAGTAGGAAACTTCTTTCCATTTATAATTGTCCTTCATGCTCTCTTAAGTGATGACAGTCCCACTGTCTACCTTCGAATGTGATTGTTTTCATACACCTAGAATGCTGAAGCAATGAGCAAAATGCTTTTCAGCAAGTTATTTACTTATTTTATAAGCAAAAATTGTTACCTCAGGCTCAAAGACAGCTCCGCTGTACACTGGATTTGCTGTTGTCCTTCGTTTCCTTTCTTGTCGCTTACTTTGTATTTCTTGGGGAAAGGGTAGAAATAAAAGCATTTGTAAAGGGCACAAAGACCTCAATATCTAGTATGAGCAAAACAAAAAAAATTCCTTCCAGTAGCACCTTAAAGACCAACTAAGTTAGTTCTTGGTATGAGCTTTCGTGTGCATGCACACTTCTTCAGATACACTGAAACAGAAGTTGCCAGATCCTTCTATATAGTGAGAAGGTGGGGAGGGGTATTACTCAGAAGGGTGGTGGGAATGGGTGATTGGCAGATAGCTGTGATGAGCCTGTTGACGACTCTTAACGACTGCAATAGGTCTTACAGGAAAAAGCAAGGGGTGAGAAGAAAACCATGGAGAGACCTGGTCTGAACAAAGACATTGGATTCTTATCTCATTATACATGACAAAGCCATTTTTCACCTTCTCACCCCTTGCTTTTTCCTGTAAGACCTATTGCAGTCGTTAAGAGTCGTCAACAGGCTCATCACAGCTATCTACCAATATTTTAAACTTTGATACATGGGAAAGTATTCACTCTAAGCAGAAATATTTGAAACTTTTACATTAATTCCAGAGCTCTGGAATAATTTATGCAGCTCAATCCTAAACTTATTTACTTGGAAGTAAGCACCATTAAGTTAAATAAACTTTTTCCTTGATAGCGTGCAAAGATTGCAGCCACAGTCATTTTTCTTACCTTCTAGATGGTCGTGTGTAACCAGTCCAAGAGACACCATGAAGGCAAGTTTCTGTATCAGAAAAGAAGAGGAAAACAATTCAATCAAATTAAAAGAGGAACTAAACTTATTTTAAGGTGAAATAGTAGCTTAAAAAAAGTGATACAATTTTCACTGAGCAATTTTTCAAAAACATACATCACCTGTATATCTGAAATGGCACTTCATAAAATGAAGCAAATAACAGCACTATGTCTCTTTATACAACTTGCATATCCCTTAGTTCAAAAAGGAGGGTTGGCAAGCTCATCTCTGTGGATCTATGAGACTGAAGGCAGCTCCACACTTTACACAGAAGTCTTTATGCAGCAGGGACACTAGTGTTTTCTACAGCAACCTCATAAAGGCTGGACAACATAGATGCATATATTCCTAAAGCCTGACTAGGCCAGGGCTCCCAGAAGCATGGACTTGGGAGTTAAAAGATGCAGACACAAGTGTTGCTGCAGAGAAACACCAATTTAAAACTAGCTGCACCTGTAACTGCTGAATTACAATACATCAAGCACATTGCTATCACTTGTGGACTGACCTAAGACAAAATATTTGTTGGCATACTGAGTAAGATAATTAGCATAACTATGCTAGGATGTCTGTATTACCAACAACTGCTTTGTGAATGATCACTGCTAATTAGATACACTGTCTGTACTTCTCGGCATTTCAGCTTCCTCTGACCACTATTTACAAATAGCCCCCAACTCTGAACCTAACAGTTCAGCTGCACCCTAGGCCTTTGCTGTCCATTCAAAACTAATTGATAAAGGATTAAGATAAGAACAAAGAGGGAAAGGATTTGCTGAATTAACTAACTGAACTGGAATGCAAAAAAGGGAGGTGTGAGGACGTCAGGGAAACAAGTGAATGAAAGACAAGATATGGAAAGACTGATTTGTTTTTAATTGTTATTCTATTCTTTCTGGTTTTTTTTTTTGTATTTTCTTTTTTTACTTTTCTTGTATTACTGTAATTTTGTTTGAAACTTTAATAAATATTATTTTTTTAAAAACTAATTTGAAAAATTAAAAAAAAATCCTGTATAAACTTGCATGTGCATCAGATATATTGTAAAATTCTCATGATTTTATGGTTTATCGTTTTGTAAATTGCTTTGAGGTTTGTTTGTTTTTACAATCAAGCAATGTATAAATGAATAAAATAATAAATAACATTATACTTTATGAAAATGAAAATAGAACATAGTGTGATTTGAATTATGAAAGCCATAGTTATCTAACTGGAGATTACTCGAAACCTGAAAACATGGAAGCCTTCCAGCACAAGCAAGGATTTCTGAACTGTCCAGATGATTGCTGCATAAGCTGTTTGCGCAGAACATCACAGCTGTATGTATCTATTTTAAAGAGACAGCCAAGTTATGCTATTCTTAGACTGCTATAAAAAGTTTTAGGGCATGAGAACCGTGAGATTCAAAAAGCAGTAGTTCACTTTCATCTCATCTAGCACAACTGTTCAGGTCAAGTATTTGCAGTCTATGATTTCTTAACTCCATGAACCATGTTTTAGAATTCAAGAGACTAGACCTGTGTGACAATGTTTGGCCTCATTCCCTTTCACTGTACATGAATCACATGGACTGCAAAGGACAGCCACAGTGGGGCAAAAAAGTATTTCAGATTCTGACAATACTAAGTAAATTAGTAAAAAGCGAAGTCTCTTGGCTCATTTAATATCTTCTCTCTGTGCAGAGGGGAAACCAAGATCTCCCCCTTAAAAAAAATATCAGAATTTTGATGGTAGAATATTGTCTAAATGGGCCCCGAGGGAGATTCACTAGTTCCAGTTGATTTTGTGTGTTGCTCAAGCTGCCAGAATCCAGGTTTCTTAGCTTGCGCTTTCTGAAAGATTTGCAGGGTGATAGCTATGTTAAACTCTCGCAACAAAAAGAAAAAGAAAAGAAAAGAAAGAATTGTGGCACATTGAAGACTCACAAATCTATTATGGTAGAAGCTCCTGTGGACTAAAGTCCATTTCATCAGAAGTGTTTTTCTGAGTTGCAGGTATTCTTGGAAAACAAGCTGTCTGAAATGCTATTATAACTCCACTCACCCAAGGAAAGAATAAACTCACCCAATCTCTCTTTTCTAACAGCTGGGGGAACCTTCACACACTCACTTAAACGTGTCATTGTCCCACAGAAAACAAAATAAATCCGCAGGCATTTATGTTATTTATAATGTGTTATTTTCAAACTTACATGATGCAAATGTTCAGGAGCTTGATTAAACAAAAACCCTATTTGTTGAAATGGATGGTTACCAGCGAGCTGTAGCTTTATTGTTAAAATTGTACAGGTATTAAAACATGTACCAGTACAATATAGCTCCTATGTGAATATAATTTGGGTCTTATTATTTGTTATACAAACCATAATTATGAGATTTTTCACAGGGTGTATTTTCATCTTTGGAAACAGGAAAGGTGAAGGGAGGGCTGGAGACACTTGGAGCACCTTCAAGCCGAGGTGTCAGGACACTCTCAGCTTTCAGGAAAGGCCAGTGTGTGTGTTTGTTGTGTGTAGGATGAGTATATTGGGCATCCATGCACAAAGTCTCTTGGGACATCCTTAAGCCCCCATGCTACCTTTGCAAAGGGGAGGGGCAGTCACGGCGCCAGCAAATACAACTTTTCCTTAGTCAAACAAGGCCAACCGAAACATGTTTAAAATGTGCCTGTGGGATTGGAGAAGTTGCCGTGCGTGATGCAATCTGAACACTCAAAAGAGCTAAGGATAATTTGGGATTTCTATGTATATAGAACAGTAGAGCGAGCTGGAAAAGCCACTGTTCAAGCCTTACCTTAGGCAAGAACTTAAAGCAAGGCTAGATTCTTTCAGCCTCCTAACCATTACAGGGTTATTGCAAAAATTACTAAGAAAACATGAAGCACTTTGAACACCCTTAAGTGCTACATACATACATGCATCATTATCATAAGGTCAGGAGCTCTTGCATTCTTTCTTCTAGCCCTGAAAATATTTGGTGAACTGGAATTTGTGGCTAGATTTAGCATTCCTCAGACATATAGACCTCTTCACTGCAGCAATAACACTGTGAAGAATGTGAATCTCTTTTAAGAGGAAAAGTGGCATTAAAATGTAGATGAAAATAAGCATTTCTAAAGACAGTTGTTTTTTAAATCTGCCCAACCCCACAAAAGGATATTGTAGATATTTGTACTAGTACCTGTGGGTTTTCTTCTCGTTTTGGTTTGGGTGGTGCAGGAGGAGCAACTGTATGAATCTCTGTTGGCTTCTCCTCTGTTTCCGCTTGGGGCTTGATAGTCTGAAAGGGAAACAACAGCAAGTGAACATAGGTTTCTTAAATTCCTAAACAAACAGAAACAGCGGCCAGTGTTTTTCTTTACCAAAATGAAGAAACGGATGGAAATGAATCCGAACAATACACTAAATATTTTCCCCAAGAGCTCCATTAAAAAGTGTGGTAAGGTACATTTTAAGTAGTGAAAACACAATCCCAAATAAAAATTACTATTTAGAACATCAAGGATACAACTGCAACACTTAAGTAGCCCAATTCAGCAACTAGATCATGTAATAACAATAACTTTGCATCTAAGATGTGGGTAAGAGGGGATATGTATAAGAGAGACCTGGTAAACAGAATAACTACAGATGGGATGACGTTTTGTGGAATAACATTCCATGAAAAGCTTGTCCAGACAACAATCTGCCTGAGAGATGCACCTTGCATCTCTCTCATTCATTATTCAATATAACAAGAATTTGCCTGAAGATAAGTTCTCCAGAATTCCCAAGTGCTGGGTTTTCCTGAAACTCATTCGCTTAGTGATGTCATAATCCCCTGCATATTGCATCATAAGTGCCTGCCCAATGATTCCCACTTTATGACATAGCTGTGACGTCACAAAATTAGATCCATCTGTTCTAAGATGACAAATATGTTCTCAATGTGTTTACTAAGAAATAAGAGAAACATAAAGAAATAACTTGAACCATATTGTTTGAAATTGTGAATTATTTTGAATTACTTCTCGGTCCCATCTACTAGACTGTGATCCCACTTGCTTGTTTGGATGAACCACAACTAACACTATAAGTGCAGTTGTGCTGGAAGAGCAGAGGGGGAAACTCAATAACCTAACACTAAACTATGGTTTGTGGCTTGCGCAAACTAGACCAATGGTTTGACAAGTGAGGATGAAACCTTGTTTCTTAATTGTTTTATTTGAAATGATGGTGGCCACTTTGGACATCACCCTTAGAAAATCAAAGTAGGAGGGTGTACCTTTTATTATAAATAAATACACAAGTGGAAAAGAGAGGTCTGGCTCTGTTCACACTTGAGAAAACTTTCTGCCTATTTATGACAAGAAAAGCCATGACCAGACTGGAAGCAGCCTTCCTCAGTACATAAGGGCTGAAAGGCAGTTTCTCTGCACTGGTACTACGTATAGGCTTTTCTTCCACATTTAAGCACTAGGGTTTTTGCTGAAGGTCCTTGCTTCTATGAAACCTAGAGTTGTGGCCAGTCTTGGCACATTGCCACCTGTTGCAGAGCCATATCACCTTGCATCCACTTCAGAATGTTTTGAAGAGAGAACGATAATGAAAGTTTTGGGGGGAAGGTGACACACTTCTGTCTACTTAAAAAATAACTGCTCATGGCAAATTTGTCACGCTTAAAAGACTGAAACCAAGCAAGCTTTTGAGAATACAGATCAGTAGACTCAAAGGTCAGTTTAAAGTGCATTTGCACAAAAAGGCCTACATCTGATAGATGGAATTAGAGGAAATTCTCAAATGTCCAGGGTTATAAACTACTTAAAAAAGGTTAGCTGAAACTGATGGTAATTAAGTCATCTGAATGTCTGCTTCATCATAAATGTCAGCAAGATTATGGATAAATATTATTTGACGGTTAATGTTTCATGCTGAAGCAGCAGAAAAAGCACAAAACGAGTAAATTTTAATTATTCTGGTGTACTATATATAAAATCACAAATTAACTGCTCACTCATTATGAATTATTGGTACATTCCCAATCCCTGTCTGAGGAACAAGGTATTATCAGCCATCTCTATTCACACATTGTATCTCACGATTGGCATGAGACAGAGAACAGTTGCTGGCTTGTCCACCCGCGTCCTCTTCTGCCAACCCTGCCCCATCCATACATTGCAAGAAACCTCTGAACAGGAGAGCACACCCTATATGTGTATCCGCCCCCTGTGATATAGAAGCCAATGAAATCAGGATTATAAATTTGGGATGGAGGAAAATTTCACTTGGCCTGCATTTTTAAGCAAATGCACCTCCCAGACTAAATAAACAGATTGAAACATAATTATACTTTAGATTTTGCACTTCTCCAAATTTTGCAATATCGTTCTTGGCTCAAAAAAAAAGTGTCAAAATGCATTAAAAAATGGGAATTTGCTTCAGTATAAAATAGGCTTTCCAAATGCCATTTTGGAAAATACACAACTAAATACATATTTTGATATTAAAATACATATTTATGTATTTAAATGCAGAGTTTTGGACAGTCTTTTAAAAACTGCTCAGCTTAATATGGAAACAGGATGGAATGCACCTATGAGCACACACAGGAAATGTACACAGGCTGGAAATGGACTGATCCACCCATCCCTATTCCAAATTGTGCAGGGAGCGTGCCCAGGCTTCTCCAACATATGGAGAGTCTAAGTGGCGGTGGAAGGGGATGGGATGGCTGGTATGGAAGGGCTAGTGGGCACAGCCCTGTTCTCGGTCACACAAGATTGCTAACCACAGGAGAGGCAATGAGAGGACAGGTTTGATGTTATGGTTAATTGCATTTGTATCTCCATTAATTCTATTGACTTTAGGAGAAGGAAACGATTCACAGTTTAAACTACTAATGCATATCTCCATCTGTACCTGTTTCTCAACATTTGGTTTGCTGATTTGTAGAGTCTGAGGTCCAGCAAGCCTGGTACCTGGGGCTGCTATAACAATGCTGGTGAGTTGTGCCATTGGAAAAGTTTTGGCTATGGTTGCTGTTTGCCCATTCACTACACGGACTGGGTGTATGGAATTCTGAGAGGAAGGTAAGGAGGTGGGTGTGAATTTTGTTGTCAGCATCACAGGCCTCTGAATAAGCTGAGGAGCAGCGAGCATAGGAGGAGGTGGGGCAGGGGCGATAGGAATGTTGTTCTGGGCAACAGGTTTAGGTCGAACCTACATAAGAGAGAGAGAAACCCATATCAGACCACATGCATAGATAAGATATAGTACTTAACACATAACTTATGGCTGTGCCAACAAATATGACTCAGATTACAATAGTGTTTGTATTATATAGTGCTACACATCTGCACTGGAAAGAACTACAGTAGGCCCAAAACTTACACAATTGCAGCCTTGCATACCTCGACAAAAAATAAATAGAAAGAGGGTGGGAGACTGGAAAAACCGTCAGAAGGGGCCACGCAATCTCTCACAAAAGCCTCCAGCGCCCTCATGTAACCTTCCAAAGCCTGGAAAACAAGGCTCTTTCAGCACCCAGTTTTCCTGCCATGGAAAGAGTTTTTAAGCCCTCTGCCTTACTTATAGGACTCTCAGAAGGTTGTGTGAGGGTCCACGAAGGCCCTGCAAGGCTCCCAAGATCTTGCCTGCTCAGTGCGCCGATATCAAGATGGGTAGGAATTGTTTGCAGAGGAAGGCAGTTCCAGGTTGGGTGTGTGGTTTCCTGACGTTGAATGATTTTGTCTTTGCAAGTAGATCCCTGGAATGTAACCCTCATGTACATTTCAGGCCTACCACACTTTTAAAACCGCTCCAAATCTTGTTTAATTCCAGCTATGATTGTTGCACTGTGTTAGCCTTCCACAGCCTACTGTCCTCCAGAGGTTTTGAACTACGATTTTCATTCTCCTTCACAATATCCCATTGTGATTGTGGCTGAAGGGAATTGTGGTCCAAAACACTTGAAAGCTGCCAGGCTAGTAATGGCTGCACTATGCATTAACTAATGTCATCATTTTGTATGTTACATTTTGTATCTTCACATATTCAATGTTAATCACACTTTAAAATGATATACTGGTTCTGGAAGCACAGGTCTGGAAGCACAAATTGCAATGATATATTCTCAAGGAATACTGAGTGTTGAGGGGAGTCTAAGCAGGTTTTCAAATACAACTGCATTACCAAAATATCTTTGGATAGATCTGGGGGAATTCAAAGGTCTGTTAATTTGAAGTATTTCTAAAATCTAGGGTGTCTAAATTGGATACAAATAGCTATGCATTCTAATTTATTATTAGATCAACTGTGTTGGCAAGAGTAGCTAGTTTCTGAATTACACAGCTCTCTCCTCCAATCAGGGATTACATTTTTGAGCCTGTCTAACTTTCTTTGGGTTAAATGCAGGTGACTAGAGCATTGGATGGGCATATCTATAGTGCAGCAGTTAATATTTTCACGCTTTCCTCTCTTTCATAACTGGGTAATGATTGCTGACATTACAACTAGGAATTTGAATAACAACTACATTAAAAATCAACAGTGTGGGTAGGAGAAGAGATGTAGCTTCAATGAGATGGAGATGGCATCCTCTGAGAGAGAGAGCAACTAAATTAATTCTAGTAATTTAAAATACTGCAAACAATCTATTACATAATGCCTTCATCTTTGGGTAAAAGATCAAATTTTTTTCAAAAAGTTGCAGCTCAAGTTATTTCTAGATAAAATCTGCTCCTCTTTGGAAGAAAGGAGCAGGAAGCTAGAAACTACATTAATTAGATTACAGTTAAGTTTTGCTTAGCAAAAAGGCTAAGGATTCACATTAAATAGGGTCTCTTTAATCAAAGAAACTATGAAAAATATTCAGCACTCAATAACCTTATAACAAGCAAGGCATTTCTTCATCATCTCGTTTTTAATTCAGTTCTTACAGAACTAGTGCAAGGTAGAGAGCTGACAGGGAAACAAAAATATGATAGCAAAGCTGGAGATTTAATCTGGAAAGCATATTAGGTAGTGTTCAATTATTACCAGGTATACGAAACATCTGGTGTTGTACTTCTTCCAGTCACACTTTTAGGACAAACTCCCCACTCCTACCCCTTTTCCTGTTTTGGACAAACTCACCTGTGGAAGAAAATTTGGACGAGGTGTGAGTCTGGGAGGAGGGATGAACTGTGGCACTTTGATGGGCTGAGGAGGTGTAGCTTGAACCTGCTAACAATAAGAGTGGGGTGGGTGGGAAGAAGACAAATTTAAGCAAAGGGAATAGGTGTGATGAGCAACTTCAAAGCTATTCAGGCACAGCCTACCTTTCTCACAGTAAATAATTCTTGCTCTTCAAGCCATTCTGAAATAAAATGGCATTTCATGGGCATAATGAAGCTAAGTATCCTTTTGTCTCACCAGCCTGTAAAACCCAAGACCTCTGCTATTTTTAAAAATATGCCCTTATCCTTGACATTTTTGAATTCTCCTCTTTGTTTTACGAGTCAAAGCGCTACAAATAACCACAAAGAATAATCAGGTTTGGCTGGCCATTCAAGTGGAGCAGCACATGATGCTTAATTGTGCTAAGGCTTCATAACTTGGGGGGATGTTTTGAAATATTTGATAAGAGGGCATAAACAATAATATTCAAAAATGCTGGAAGGATAAATGTTAGGTACTAGATAAATTATTTAGTACATTAGGACTCTGGTTCTCTCTTAAATGTGTAGAACACTGTTTTCATATACAGTAATTTGCTTTGGGAGTGAAATACTTTAGGGTATAAATGGATTTCGTTACAGCTGCAGCTCTGGATCAATTCTTATTTAAACAGCAAAACTCTGTTTAAATGCCTGGCCTCCCTCACAAGGATATATTTTCCACTCAAGTTACTTTTTACATTTCTGCAGGCTTCAGCTGCTTAGTACTTTGTGAAACTGATTATCAGAGTTACTAGTTAGTCACAAAAGCGCCCCTGAGAAAGACTTGTGTGCAGGTTGAGGAAGATGCTGGCTAGATCCTGTCATGCAGGATGATTTCTTTGTGGGTCCAGCGGCAGCAAAAAATAGACAACGTTGGTGAGCCTCATTAAAATCATTTTAATATAAGCAGTGAAAGGAACATACATTTAAAAGCATAACCTAAACAAGGTAAGTCCATGCATGGTCCTACATGCCTTTATTGGCAAGCAGAGCATTGTAAAAAGTTGGAGTGAAGGAACATTGTCAATTATCTTTCAGCACACCAAGGAAAAATATGATATGATAGTAATCATTTGTTAAAGTAGTAAATTATTTTAAAAATTGAAACCCATTAGAGCAAAAGTATTTTCTCACATTAAACAAAGTTTCTCAATACCTGTATATGCCCCAAAGGGCACGCATCTCTGTTTCAACAAGGGAATTTTTTTAAAAAATGGCTCACGTCCTTAGAACACTAGGCAACAAAGACCGCTTACCAATGTGACTGTATTTTTTGCCACTATTTGAACTGCCTCTGTTCCTGGACCAGTGACTTTATTTGTTGTCTGGAGGTTGACTGGCGTGTTCTGTGCATCAGTGCTAAGGACAGTTTTCTGGTTGCTATTGATGGCAGTCACCATGGCAATTGTAGGTCTTGGACCCACAACGGAGGCAGGCATGGTTGCTGTTGCTGCTTTCAGGACAAGAGGTAGTGTCTTAGTGGTGATCATAGAAGCTGTAGTTACCGTCTTCTAAGAGAGAAAAAAACAAAAAGCACTTTGGAACCTATTCATCGCAAACTGGACAGAGTTTGCTCTAGAAATTCACAAGTGAGAAAGCAGAAGCTGAAGTGCAAGGGAAATGCAACTGGGAAGATTTAAAACACCGATTTCTTACCTGTCAAAGCTGTATGGAATCAGCCCACTCCTTTACAAATACTTTCAATAAACCTTCCACATACAGACGTGCAACCACACAGGAAACACCACGCCATGGATTGCTTAATCCATTGGTGAACTGTATGTGAAATCAATCATGTCTTGATAGTACATGCTTTGGCGAATATAATGTCCCCATGTCTCTTGTCAATTCCATGCCCCCCAAACATTAGTGTGCCTATACGATGCCATAGGCAGTGTCAAATGGGATTTGTTTTGAACCAGTGTTTGTAGGCTGTGGTAAAATGGATAAGAGTTAACAGGCTAATACTGAATCCAAGTAGATGGACATTTCTTTGCTAGGGAATTTAGGAGAATTTGCCTGGAAATGCCCTTGAGAGAGTGTTGAACTAACTGTTCAATAGCAGAGAGGAGTCTGAGAACCTTGGCCACCAACAGTTGTAATAGTGGGCACAATGTACTGGGCAGGAGCAGCAGGGTTTGTGTGCTTGTACTCAGCAAATATGGAACCAGGAACACTGAGGTGCAAAGTAGATGCAATGTGTACTTTAGCAGAATTTTCCAAGCATTTGATACTGAATTGAGTTTTTTTGTTTTTGCTGTTGCTCTAATGTTCCTTTTTCATTATCAGATTTAATTGAATTGGTATTTTATGTAATTTTATATTGTTGAAACACCTTCAATTTCCTGCGATATTTCAAAGCTAAAGTATCAAGGCTAAAATGAGGGGCTTTCAGGATAATCAGTAAAAGCACATCACAACTAGATTTTAGCGTCACTATTATGACAGTGTTTTCACTAGTTCTTATGATTTACACAACACATTCCACAACTAAAAATAATCAGGCCTGCTAAAATCCCTTATTGAAGAACTTATTGTGGTTGTTGCACAATGTGGAAAATGCTTTGTTTATAATTATTTCAAATGAGAAAGCACATATTTAGCTAGTTTTAAAGAAGACTAATTTGGAAAGCATTGCAGATTTCCAAGTAGACAATTCAGAGATGCATGTGTGTGTAACATAAGTTATAACTTGGTTTTCTCTATACACATTAAAGGAACGGGTTGCAGATTCAGTGCTTTCTAAGAAACACCCTAATTGGATGCTGGCAAGGAAAGAGTAGAAGCAATTTCAATACAGTGTCGCTAGAGGGCTCTTTAGCATTGAACATAACTTTGTACAAATGCAGAAATGACCTGGAAGTTAATCTCAAAGTGCACAGCACAGAATACAGAGAAGAACATGAGTGTCCCTTTACAGTCAAAACTCTAGATAAAAGCAGACACCAATAATTAAAAAATGACTCACAATCTACCTGAAAGATATACTTGTTAATGCACACTTTGCTCTCTCACATTTTAAGTATTATTTTGTTTCAGTTACTTTAAAAGCACATCAAGTGGAAAAGTCAGATGAGAATCCAACAATTCTGAATTCCTAGAGCAATATCTGAAGTGGTCCTAGTCAGTAATATATATAGACTTCCAGGTGAACAATTCCCATACAAAGAAGAGCCTTGTGAACTAAAAAGTAAGTATTCCACCAACTGTTCTGCAATTCTCTGTATAGACATGAATTGATGGTAGGATATTCATAGCAGGCCAATCCCGATCTTTCTCCTCTTCTGATGAAAGTGCACCGCCCCATGAGGCTTTCTCTCTTCCCAGCTATGAACTAGCAATGCCCATTCCATCATGCTGAATGAAACCAAGGGAGAGAAGGAAAGGAGGGGCAGCAGTTTTTGCTTACTTTCTGTCCTTGAACTACTTCCATTCCAGTTGGTTGTTATAAGAACTTTGTAACAACATACTAATGACCGAGTTGGCTTTCCGCTTTGCCTTCCCACCAATTCCAATTCTCTTTAGTGTCACTTTGTTTAGGTTTTAAGCCCAAGAGCAAAGATTGATCTCTGTAAGCCTTTTCGAGGCCCTTTCTTCAGTTGAAGAGTGAGATAAAAGTGTATATATTAATAGCAATGATGCCCTGATATGCTGCCGTCCAAAAGGGCCAACACATTGCCTTACATGAAGTCAGACCACTAGTGCACTTAGCTTAGCATTTGCACTAACTAGCAGTGCTTTTCAAGCAATCCAGTTAGTAGTCTCTCCTGATCCTAACTTGGAGATGCCAGAGATTTTCAGGCAGGAGTCTTTCCCAACCCTAACTTGGAAATGCCACAGGTTGACTGCTCACTGCTACTGAGCTGTGGCTCCCCAGATGAAGTTTCCAAGTACAGAACTAAATGAAATAAATGCCAAAAACAAATGCCTCATGTCAAGCTCCTCCTTTGTAACATCTTGTGCATGTGTCCAGATGTCATCACCCTGTGCACTTCCTTGCTTCTGCTCCATGTATTTTGCTGCTGATAGGGAAACACAGTGTCATGGCATGTTACTGATGGGAAAGGGTTTTCTTTAACAAGGGGCCACCATTTTCAGTAACAGCCAGTCATTGTGTTAGTTCTGCCCACAGGGTCTCAAAGAGCCAGCGGGAGCAAAAAACTGCTCACAAGGAAAAGGCTCAGTTTCTTGGCTGCCCCAATGCTGCTTAAAACAACAGCAATTTTCCTTAAAGCACTTCCAGTACTCTAGAAGCTATCGCTTATCTTCTTCTAGTGAGAAGGAGCAATAGACAACATCTAAGCTTACCTTTCTCCAAACTCAGGGCACTCCCTGGCCAAAGTTGTAGGGAGGAGGCAGTCAAGTGGCTCTCAAAACAGAGAGTATCAAACCAACACCATTTATGCTTCTGAGGACCTCTCTAAATAACTTATTTTCCCCAAGATTTCCCAGTCTCTAGAGTATAGTCTCTATCATGCTGAGAACAGAAAGAGGAATAGTTGTTCCCTGTTGAGATGAGAGTTTACTCTCCTCTGCCTCATTATAAGCCATATATCAGAAGCTAGACTGCCAAATGTCTACACACAAATAACTTATTTTTTGCTAATTCAAGCAACTAGCTTTCTAAACTGACTATGTGATTCAAGCTTACTGAAATTGCAGCAAATGCCCTCAGCAATTATAGATGCAACTACATTAATCTCTGTTATTGTATTTGTGGGGAGAAGACAGTGGGGGGCAGTTTCTATGTATTTCTTTGTTTATAGCCTGTTTGGTTTTATATTATTATTTCTGATATTCTGTTTCATGCTGCTGAAACATATTGAACCAAGATCTCTGGACACTTGTAGTTCCCTAGTTAACAACTTCTGAAGGCAATCATTTCCACAAAAAGAGAAAACTCAAGACAATTACACATTATTTTCCAATGAAGGACACCTATTCTTGCAGAAAATGCTGCAAGGTGGACTTTATTCTGATTCAGTTCTTAAAGCAAGAGTGTATACTCAGAGCACTTAGCACAGATTAGCTGTGCCTTAACTGTTAAAGACAACCTGGTTAACCTGATGTGCAGTGTTGCACATCAGTTAATCAAGAAGGTCCTAAAAACATTAAAAAACTAAAGCATGCAAGATTCATATAATACTGTTACTTCAAAATCCAGCAATTGACTTAGCTTTCTGGGGAAGCGGGGAGTGATCCATGCTTAGACTCAAGTTCATAAAGTGCTCTCGTTTCACTTAAATGCTACTGATAGCTTTGTAGCACAATCTTACACATGTTGATTCAGAATTGAGCCTTACTGAATTCAATATGACTTACTTTCTAGCAAGTGTGCACTGGATTATGATAGGTTAACTCTGATTTTGTGTTCTCTTCTTTATACAGTGATACATTTCATTCTAAGAAAGGAATACATTTTGAAAATTAGTGTAACACCTTCAACCACTTTACCTGTGATCCAAGCAGGTTTGGAGAGGCTGCAGTAGTTTGCTGCTGCTGTAGCTGTAGTGGCTGTGGAGTTTGTATTTTATTTTCTGACTGTGCCAATGGTTGTATTTGAAACTTACTGTCCGGCTGTTCCTGCTTTACCATCAAATTCTTCCGCAGCTGTTCAACCACTCTTTTCTATCATGGAAACAGACACAAAAATACCAGGCATTACATTATTTAACTTGCAAAACACTACAGACACTTGTTTATAATTTATAGTTTATAAATCCATTTACTGTCTGTAGTGGCGTAGCGTGGGTTGTCAGCACCCGGGGCAAGGCAAGTAATTTGCGCCCCCTAACCCGTGGATTTGCCCCCCCTAACCCGTGGATTTGCGCCCCCTAACCTGTGGATTTGCCCTAACCCCAGATGTTGCGCCCGGTGCGGCCGGCCCCCCCTGCACCCCCCACGCTACGCCACTGACTGTCTGGCTTTCAAAGGATTAATCTAGGTGGTCCAAGCCAACTGTGTCGGCACTGTCCCTTATGTGTGATACAGTAGCTGTTACAATGAGAGTGTAACTGACAGGCAGCAGTGGCAGAATAGACATGTCCTTCAAACAAGATGTCATTTAGCAATTAACTATGGCACTACAGTTACACATATCTGTAGGATCATTGAGCTCTCTCAACCTATTGGGTGCTACTTAATGAACTCCTCAGTATGCATTCCGAGTATTCAAGAGGGATCCTAAAAGTATGGTCATGTTTCAGATCAAGGAAATAAATGAAAATAATACACTGGCTCATTAGGCCAAAGTGCTACCAGCTACTTTGCCCCCACTTACAGAAGGCATCTCAAGATGGATTAACAAATATTGGCAACTTTAAAAACTCTTTTAAAAAAATTAAACACTGCAGACATCCATTAGAGAACTCATCCCCCCCCCCAATGGCTGAATGCAGAAACCATCAAATATGATAAGCAATAATAATACAGCCCTCAAACCAGAAGTTATGCGCACTTCAATTGAAATCCCCCCATGCACTATTGTTCCTACACAGTTCATCCTAGAATCTGTGGTATAGCCAGGACATTCACAGTTCAAACAACCTGCCTGGTTTTCAGTCCTGCACAAACCTATCAGGCGAATTTCATGCAGGCGGTAAGGGGGGGGGAATGAGAGATAGGGCAGAGAAAGGATTGAGTGTGTCCTACCCACATTTGGCTTCATCCCCACCCACTGCTGGCATGAGGTCCCTGAAAGATTATACGTAATCAAGCAAAAAAAAGTTTCCACACTCTTGTCTTAAAAGTAGTTCAGTGTTTCATACAGCAATAGCCCTGAACTCTTAAGAGTACCCAATTCCCTACAAAATTTTAACTCCGTACGTTTTCTGCTACAGCAGAATCTGTTTCAGGTTCTTTGGATTTCTCCCCCCCCCCCATCCCCTTTGGTGGCCATTGGCCAACTCTTAAAACTGCTCAGCCATTGCCTACTGAATCCACTCAGACTTTGCCTTCTCGGTCCATTCTTTTATCAAGTTGTCCCGTCCCACCCCCCGCCACCACCACTTTATAGTGGTGTATATTCCAGACTTCTGTCATCTGTTCTAGAACTCTATGGCTCCTGACCTATCTAGATGACATTTCTAGGCACTTGGGTCCTCTGAAATGACTGCGTAGACCAATAGCCCTAACATCTGTCGTTATGAAATGTTTTGAGAGATTGGTGCTAGAACATATTAAGGCTGGTCTTCCATCCACTCTAGACCCGTTCCAGTTTGCATACAGAAGAAACAGATCTACTGATGATGCTATTTCCATCGCTGTCCATACTGTATTGAGTCATCTAGAACGACAGGGAACCTACGCAAGGCTGTTGTTTGTGGACTACAGTTCTGCCTTCAATACAATTCTGCCAGACAGGTTATTTCTTAAAATGACCAATTTGGGTATACATCAGAAGATCTGTCTGTGGGTAAGGAATTTCCTGACTGATAGGCCGCAGACAGTGAGAATGGGACCTTACTATTCTTCTACTCTAGTATTAAGCACAGGAGCCCCTCAGGGATGTGTGCTAAGTCCCTTTCTCTATTCCCTGTACACATTTGATTGCACCCCACTGTATAAGTCCAACACAATCATCAAATTTGCGGATGATACAACAGTGGTGGGGCTCATTAGTGAGAACGATGAGACTGCTTATAGGAAAGAAGTACAGGGGTTAATTCAATGGTGTAAGGAAAACAATCTTATGCTTAACACCAAAAAAACCAAAGAACTCATAATTGACTTTAGGAGAAAGAAAAGTGTATTTTTACCATTGCACATAAATGGCGAGGAGGTGGAGAGGGTTGGTAGTTTTAAATACCTGGGCATTTATATCTCTGAGGACCTCTCATGGACTGCAAATATTAATATGGTTGTGAGGAAGGTGCAGGGGAGGTTGTATTTCCTGAGAATGCTCAGGGGACTGAATCTATCTCAGCACCTACTTCTGTCCTATTATCACAGTACCATCGAGAGTGTCTTAACCTATAGTATATTATCGTGGTATGGGAGCAGCTCTGAAACGGATAAAAAAGCTTTACAGAGAATAATTAAAATTGCCCAGAATGTTATTGGGCTCCAACTACCAACCCTGGATGAGATCTTCACGTCTCGCACTTTGAAGAAGTCACACAATATCCTGAGAGATCCCACCCATCCCGCTCACAACTTCTTTGAACTGTTGCCTTCGGGCAGAAGATATAGGACAATGAAAACACGAACCACACGCCTTCTGAATAGTTTCTATCCAAGAGCTTTGATTGCACTAAATAATGATCTCAGGGCCAGTTGCAAGAAATAGCAAGCAGGGAGTAGGAAGGAATGAGATAGGTTTTAGGTTATGTTATGCCTTTAATAGGTTATGTTATATTCTGGATTATGTTATGTTTTTATAGATTATGTCTGAATAGGATGAGAGTGTTGGAGATACGTGCAAATGTGTATGTGAACCCGGTCTTTGGGTGGGTGTTTGATTTTCGTTGTTGTGTATACTGTGTATATACGGACAATGACAATAAATTTATCTATCTATCTATCTATCCATCTATCTATCTCAGACTTGCAAATAAGATAATTCAGTCACTAGCTAACTTTAGCACCCCACCAACCCACATTTACTTATGCTGACCATTTGTGGCTCAGTGGTGGCCTGAAAGTATGTTATTTTCCTTGCCTGGCTACCTATAGATGATTCTTATCAGGTGCTGCAACCTCCCAACAGTTGGTCTTTGCCCCTAAAAGGCGCACTCCTCCATTGTCTCTCGAGACAGGTGGACGTCAGTGCCTTGTCTGGCTACCTATACGTGATTCTTATCAGGCAACCAAGCAAGTGGCTATTTAAAAGACTGGTTTGTAGTTTATCGAACCATGTTGCACTATCTGAATTTATTAGACTACTTTACCTGAAAACTTACACATGAAAATGAAATATAGGCAGCTGACATCAAGCAAAGAAATCTGCTCCATATCTGAGTTTATATGTGCATTCAACCATTGATCAGTCATTTAAGCTTGCTTTCTGAAACATCAAGTCTGTTATCAAGCTATTTAAAATGCTATGTCAGCAAGCAGAGACAGGAACAAAAGGAACATTTCCAGAAAGCAGAGAAATGTAGAGGAAGTAATAGAACAGAAACCAGTTACACCTGCCAAACAATGACTCCACCTATTAACATCACAGAGACTACATTACTGTGTCGGACAAGATCAGACAGCCTTTTTTATTTTCTATAGCTATATTTATGAAGTTTGGGGATAAGGGTGATTTTCTACCAGTTCCCTAGTTCAAGGAAGCCAGCAGCAGAGAGCTAGCATTCATTTGCTCCGTGTCCTTTATCACAAAACAAAAACAGCAGGGAAAGAAGGGGAAGCTAAGCTCGCCTAACTCATGTGCCAAGCTGCAATCATAAGTGAGAACCAATCGGAACAGAAATTTGGTTGAGTAGGAGTCAAGTGAGTCATATCACATTCACAACTCTTCCTCCCCCAGGCCCCTGAAACAAAGCCCAGGAAAGCTGTGGAGGAAAATAGGAATGAAACACCTGAAAACTTTCATTAGTTTTACAGAACTAAAGACTTGCCTACTAGCATGAAGAGCAGACAAAATGAGGGAGAAAAGTTGTTTCTCTGCTCATTTATAAAGAGTGAAAAGTTGTCATGCAGGGACACTTCCTGTCCCCTCCCCTAATTTATTACAAGACAGTTCCTTTGTTCGGTTTAAAGGAGGCATCTTCAACCTTTTCAGACCCAGGACTCACTTTTAACCCAAACATGCATTTGGGGGTCTATTTCTCAATCTTTTACCGTATATTTGCAAGGTGGCAGTGCTCCTGTTGTGACTTACCTTGGATCAGGCCACACTCCACTACACTGGTGGCCAGTGGCTTAAAGGGACTACCTGTGTTTTATGTTTTAGAATTGCAAAACTAAACACTTATAAGAAGTGTATGTATTTTATAAGCAAACATGCTTTCTAGGAACTGGTAGCCAGCCAAATACCCTTCAAAGCTTAAAAACAGGGTACCTGATATTCAGAGAAAGAGCCAGAAGGAGCAAGAATGGCTGTGCAATCCCTTCTGTCTGTATGAGTGAGAGAAGGTTGTGTAGTCTGCTTTCTCTTGGGTTTGATCTTTGCATAACATGGGCAAATGGTTTCGAGGAAAATATTATTCAACCTATTTATTTCCTCCATCACACAATGCATATAATATGTAACTTAACTCCCTTTCTTGAGGTGCCTGCACTGTGCTTCTGATAGTGCCACAGTTGCAGTCTGCATTGTGTTGACCTGTGGTGGTCTGATACCACATACAGGTCGCATTGCTTGCTGGCTGAGGACTTATGAACACATAGAATAGCAGCAAAACTGAAGTGAACTTAACATTTTATGTGGGCTCCACTCTTTGATGCACCAGACCTTTTCCATTGGCCCATTGTGCCATGTTGGCTTCTTATGACTGGTGTACCTGTAGTACTCTGTTGTGTGGAGGCACCATCATTACATCGGAGCCCAATACCACTATCTATCTTCAACCGCCATCGTGCCATCAAAGCAGCTATGCCAATGGCATCCATAGTAAGGTCAAAGTCCAGACCACCTGTGACACGAGACCAGGCTAGGGAGTGGAGTGCAATTATGGACA